GGTTTCTGAGAAATATCAAAATCTTTTAAACAATCAAATTTTTGGCAGACCTTGTTAAATAAGGATTTTTTTGTGTGTTTTAAATGAAGCCATTTGACAACATTTTCCAATTGGTTTTCATCCTTCACCTGTAACAGTTTATGAGATATTTTAATAACAAGGTCAAAATTATTTTACAAAATAACAAAAATTCACTTTTAGGTTCCCTTAGCAACCACCTTAGCAACCTGAATCCCAAACCTTTAGTTATAAATTATTACTAGGCAACAGTGTTAGTTTATATATATAACTTCAATGTAAATGGGTGTGGTTGAAAAAGTGTACAATTAGTTCATGCACAATGCCTATAATTTGCCTTCTTGAATACAATGATAATTCTCTTATTTTAATCAGTGTTGCCATCTTCTCCCCTTTTCGTTAGAATTATTTTTTATCTTTTCTCTAACTAATTAAACTTTATATTTTAATAAACAAATGTTACAGTATTTATCAAAATTGTAATGTGTGCATGATAACTGCCTGAAAATGATAATTTTTCAGACTCAAAAAGTGCAATTTTGAGTCAAAATCCAAGGGGTCCCGTAACCATGACAACGGGAACATAAACAATGTTTTGTCAATATATTTCTTATATGTTTGTCGATAGCTACCAACAAACAAAATCTCAAAAAAATCTAAGACAATTCGTGCCGCAATTTGGTTGGTGGTTTCAAAGAATTGCTATTAATCTTTATGGGGTAAGAGACTTAGAGGGGTGAAGAAGTCTAAAGGCAACTGTACAGGAATATTGACATATATAAGTACTATACACGACTATAATGGCTTCATGTCGTTAAATCTCCAGTGATAAATACAGATTAATCGGCTATATAGATGACGAAGTTAATCTTGAAATGTTTTAATGGTAAAAAAAGCTAACTTAATTGACTTAAGGTAGATCGGGTGTCTTCTGCAATCTTGGATTGTAAATTAGTAGGAATCAATCGGTCTAGACCTTTAAGTATTTTTAATGGTAATTTCATTTTTAGTTTATTAAAAAAAATAAGTTTTAACTCTTGTCCATGTTAAAATTTTGTTCCGTGAAGGGTTGAAGACTGTATGGTCGTTTGGTTAGTTTTTTAGTTGGGTTACTGTGTCATGGGCGTACAACTCCCACATCTCTTTTTATTCATCATAGACATAATCTGGTTCGATATAAAAACAACAGATGTATAGTTTGCTAAAAATAAATGTAAAGCAAAAATTGATTTTGACTAGCTGCTAGATTTTGCAACTTTAAGTAGACGTCTATAACCTAGTGACACTGTTCACCATATCCCCGGCAAAGTCCATCGTGGACAAACGGAAAAAAGATTCTAGGTGAAACAAAAGAAGCGTTTTGTGTTTTTTGTAATTTATTTGATCGAATGCCAGTTGAAAAGAGCAGTGGCTATATAATTTCTATCTTAAGGAACACGAAAAGTAAAAATGTTTTTTTTTTAGGGTTGGATCAGTCAACGAAATGGTTATTCATGGTGTCTCCCTTGTTTCACTTTTCGATGTTGACAATCTTTTCTTTTTAATGAATGAACCACATACTAAACACATGCGTAACCCATCTCTACTTAGGTCAAATTTACAGTTGCATGAATACGCATTCAAATGAGATTGATTTATTGACTTGCAGGTCAAATATATATCAGCGATATTTTAGATTATTTTGACGAAATTGAACCAAACTGACTGGGTACCAAATAAGAGGCTCGATCCATACACTTTGATTTTAGTTATTATATAGATGTTGAAAGAGAAAATCTAAAGTTGAATTTTACAGTTCTTTTATGTAACTAACTAACGGAAATCTTTGTGCAGACGCTTTATTCTGTGAAGTAATCTTATAATGTAATAATGACTTTTTTTAAGAGATATGTTATTCGCAATGTCAACACATGGATGAAATTCTTACATGGTATATAGGTATTTTGAAATGTTTTAATGATATTAAGGAAATTTAAAAAGGCAATATAATCTTTATAACATGCAAATATATAAAAAGCCACAAGTCATAAATTATTTTAATGTTTGAAAAGAACAGCAATGCTCATGTCGACATTTTAAACTTCTTTTTGGCTTCGTCGAAAGAAATTATAAAATCATTGTGACTTTATTGTATCAAATATCTGACTGCTCGATTCCAAGGTAAGACACGTATACCTCACATGTCTATCTAATATATAAATTTTGTATTTGAATTTTCCGATATTTCTTATCGTTGTAAAGAAACACAAAATAACTTAATATCCACATGTTATTTATGATGTAACATACAAAGCGACTCTGGAGAAATGAATATTCCGCATTAACGAAAAAGATATAAACAAAAGGTACATCCTCCATATCGATATCTATAATCGGTAGTCACATGTAGAGCAGGATCTGCTAACCCTTCAGGAGCACCTGAGATAATCCCAGTTTTTGATGGGATTCGTGTTGCTCAGTCTTTAGTTTTCGGTGTTGTGTTTTTATACCGTTTCGTGTTTTTGCCATGACGTTGTCAGTTTGTTTTCGAATGTTATGAGTTTGAACATTTCTTTGTTATCTCTCGTCTCTCTTTTATAAAGGATGACAATATAAGTTTTAATGTCGTTATCAGTATCTTTTCTATAAACATAATGTTTCTAGTAAAAAAATCAATATAAGACGGTATTTCTCGTACTACCTTTTACTGAAATATTGTATATTTAAACTCAGGTACGTTCTTACATATTTCAACAATAATTGCTAAAGGTATGATATACCACTAAGTTAGTTCTTTCTCCAAGTTCTCTGACCATTTTTTAATGATACGAAAATAAGAAGATGTGGAATGATTGCCGCTGAGACAACTCTCCACTAGATACTGAATGACATGGAAGGAAGCAATTATAAGTTCGCCCTTCAACAATGAACAAAACCCATACCACATGGTAAACTATAAAAGGCCCCGAAACGACAAATGTAAAACAATTCAAGCGAAAAAAAATAACATCCTGATCTATTTACAAGACAATAAAAAAAATAAATATGTATGATATACAGCAACAAACGACAACCTGAATTAAAGGCTCACGACTTGGGACAGGCACATACAGAATGTTGCGGGACTAAACATGTTTGCTGGCGCCAAACCCTCCCCTTAACCTGGGGTAGTATAACATAAGAACAAGCTATAAAATTCAGTTGAAAAGGGCTTAACTCATCAGATCGATACAAAGCATAAACAACTAACAAAAACACAAAAGACACAAAGTACAGATCTTAGAGTACTCGCAGTTACTGAAAGCTAGTTCAAAGCCAATAACAACTAATACAAAAATGATGTATCCAAGACTAAAATATCATTCAGTACACATCCAACATCCAATGAATTTAGTGTAAAGATGTCATTACAGTCAGAGAAAAACACGACGTTGTGCAATGCCAAAATATAGGTTTCGACAGATTGTAGGAATGTGAATAAAAATAATATTTCGTTGGGATTTAATTTATTGATATCAAAATCAATATTTATACCAATAAAAACAATAATCAAAGGTTTGTACATATGATAGTTCGCTAAACTTATTTAACCCCTGCACACAAAGTGTGCCTGTACCAAACCAAGCTATCCTGACCATGAGTTGTTCGTTGTTGTTTCTCTTTGTATGTCTGTTTATGTAGGTCGTGTGGTCTGTTACAATATCCAACGTTTTTTCAATTCCTGTAATCATTTTTATGAATTATTTTTATTCGTATATATGCCAAATGACGGAAAGACGAACAATATTTCAATAAATTTTCGTCATGAAACTCTACTTTAAATTTCAAATTGTGATCAAATAATAATAAATGATATTATACGTAGGAACTAAATGAAAATAAAACTTAATAGATTTAGGGCGTTTTTAAGCTCTTTTGTGTACTTACCTCCATGAGGAACCCTTAAAACCAAACACTTGAAAGCCATGAATGTCTGCAGTGGCGGATCCAGAAATTTTCATAAGGGGGCCGACTGACTGCCTAAGTGGGGGCTTGCTCCAGTCATGCCTCAGTGATTCCCTATACAATCAACCAAATTTTTCCCACAAAAGGGGGGCCCGGGCACCCTGGGCCCCCCTAAATCCGCCTCTGGTCTTAATACATAGAAACGTTAGGAGCTTTATGAAATAAAAGAAACTAAATATAATGGCAAAATTCAGCTAAGGTCAAAATAGCCTAAGGGAGTTGGAATCTTAGTTTCGTAAGTTTTAGTAATTTATCAACGGGGATTTTTTTTTTTTAAATAGGTTATAATTCATGTCAGTACCAAATCACTGACTTTATATTTATTAGGATTCCACCATATTAAAAAGTACGTGTATCAAACTCTTGCGGTGTGGTTATTTAATGTCGTATAGTCAATGTCAATGTATTTCACGGTCTGGGACAATTATTAAATACAAATACGATAATTCAAATTTATATCAATATGTGTTATAGATTCAAATCCCACAAAAAATATATGAAATAAGGAAGAAAATGTAATAGAATTTATTTTTAAATATTACTTTTGTAACAACTTAATGTTCTTTTTTTTCAATATAAAAGCAGGTCAACCCTACCATAATGCTTGTATTCTATTACTAGGAATCTTTAGTAATGATGAAAATAAATAACTTTAAGATATTAAATCTTCGTCAGGAGAATCATCTTCAAGACGATATTGTAAAAAATCACACAAGGTACGAATGTACAAATGTTAATGGAAACCAATGAACCATAACAAAAAACAAGGAAGTTTTTCTATCCAAAAAGATATTTTGATTGTTCTTGTGTGGTGGTAATCCAGTTTTCCACAATTATGAGGAACGTTTTTATACTTCGTTATAACATCCACATGATCATCCTAAATTCAACGGTGATTTAATAAATGACCTAGTTTTCTTTCAATTATTTTTTGCATAATTATGTATTTACCTTTAAATGAATACAAAGCATTGAACGATTTTTTAAGAAAATAAAACTCCAGCCTGAAATGACGTCTACACTTACTTTTTACCTATATACATTCTAACAGTAATACTCAGGTATGGCAAAAATATATTTAATGTATTCTCTAATTGATTTTATATACTTGTATAAGTACTAATTGCTTTTATCTTTCAATTAACTAATAATTTTATGATTTTTCAAAACTTTCAAGCATTATAAAGATAAGCATAACATATTAGTATTTAATCATTTTAATCAAAAGGAGATGATTTATGAACAAATTATGAAAACACAGTGTGTCTATTCATTTTATGTTAAACTATTAAAATATATTCTATTATTCATCAATGGCGTTTAGGCATGTGCCATTTTATCGAAATAACATAAAAAATGTGGTGCACACTTTAAAATAACCCGCTACGCGGGTTATTCAGTGTGCACCACATTTTTGATGTTATTTCTTCATAGACAGAAAAAATATAACAGTCATTCCTTAAATGAAATAATTCTTTCACGATCGAGATTATGGTCGTATCAGTATCTGCAAGAAGATTCAATCTCGATTGAGAAAGGTGGTTTCCAGTCCAGGTTGTCTGACTATTTTCTCAATTTGTTTGTTAAGTGCAAACCAGTAAACTAGAATATAAAAGGTACACCCGACTTATCATATCTGTATATAAAAAGTGCGATAATGACAATGCGACAATCAACATCTGTGGCTTCCTCGTTTTACCAGCTTCCTGTAGTAGCAACCATACTTTTACCCTGTTTCCAAATTATATGCCTTTCTTAATATTTCCAAAGTTGATTTATCATCCTGTTGTGGCTGGAGTGTGATTGTTTTTTATGGTGTCTTTTACTTTTACAACATATGGTCTAGATAGGAAAAGGAGGATCCGTGTGCTGACGTAAATCTCGTTTAATCCCACAACTTTGTACCTGTACCCAAACTAGGCTTTTTGGAGCATGACTGTGTACATTTTCTTGTCTTGTCTGTGCTTGTAGTCCTATTTTTTTCGGCGGAGTCGAGTGTTGTTTAGGTCCGTTTTACTGTCCTGTATTTTTGGTAGTCATTCCTGTTATCCTTTTTTATGTATCGTCTGATCACACTTTTATATTTCCGTGCATTTCTAACTGCAGAAATAATAACGCTACACTACCACACAATCTTATCAAACAGAATTTCTCTAAGTTAAAATGGTCCTTTTAAAAATCTAATTGCAGATTCATTTGCTGCAACTCCTGTAAAGCTTTTTTCTGTAGTTAAAAAAGGGAAATATGCAAGATATACTTACTGGGATTAAAGCTGGAAATATTTTCTTTTCCAATATCCATACTCGTTTCGACAATAGAGTTTATCGACAGGTTGTAGGCATTCCTATTGGCACTGATTGTGCCCCTTTACTAGCAGACTTGTTCCACAGAAACTTGGGTACAAGATTTGAATTTTTATTTTCATTGTTTGCACTGAATATTCAATATTCTATTTTTATACCACATAATGAACACTACTAAGCTTGCCTTACCTTTTTTATGCATTTATCCACTCTGAAAATATTCCTTATTTCACTACCCATACTTAAAATCTTCTCATATTTTAAATTGAAAAAAAAAGTATCTTTTTTTGACAATTTTGACAATTAGTTGTCTTAAATGGCTGTTGCTAAGCAACATTTGTGTTGCTAGGTTAAATATGAAACTTCGTAAATAAATAATTATTACTAAGAAATGTATATTATAGTGTAACACCATAGATTATAGCAAATTCAACAAAGATAGCTTTAAAAAGCTCTCATTTGTAGTTCTTGAGAAAAATGCAACGGAAATTTCATAGGACAGATAAGGGTTTAGCAGTATACTCATAATCCTTTTGGGTTTATGATAAAACATGTTTTTTTTATTTTAATTTTACTTAATTTTTTTTTTTTTTTGGTGTTACTCAAACTATCATCCAAAAATGTGATTATTCCCTCAATATAGTATAAAAAGTCAAGTATCTAAAATTGAAATTGTCATTAATACCTAAATTCATACAAGAGTGCACATGCTGAAATGTTTCGCCTGCTTTACTATTCATGTTTTTATGTTGATAGTACTAGTCCTAAAGATAAACATGTTTGTGAGTGCTCAACACTCCCCTTAACCTGGGACAGTGGTGTTACAGCACACCATAAGCACAAACAAATGTTACCTTTGTTGCAGTTACAAATTGATAAACAATATTAGTAGTGTAGGAAAATTTATATTTACTTCCTTTAAATTGAGTTTTTCTGTGCGTTTTACTGTGTGTTTGTTTATTCTACATTAGCTAGATGTATAGGGGGAGCCGCATTTTTTATCCTATCCCAAGTCAGGAGCCTCTTGCCTTTGTTATTCTTGTATGTTTTTTTAATTTTGGTTCATTTATATGTTTCGGAGTTTAGTGTGACGTCCATTTTCACTGAACAACTAAACACATTTTTGTTTAGGGGCCAGCTGAAGCCCACCTCCGGGTGCGGGATTTTCTCGCTGTATTGAAGACCCATTGGTGGCCATGGGCTGTTTTCTGCTCTTTGGTCGGGTTGTTGTCTCTTTGACACATTCCCCATTTCCTTCCTCAATTTTATTTATTAATTGTTACTTTAGCCGTGAGGAACAAGACGAGCGTGACATGAAAGGAGGTGGGAGTAACCGACCATTCATCTTTAGTTGGGATATGGGTTTGTTTTTAATAATTATCAGTTTCTTTAAAGAAAGCCTATTTTCAGAAGGGATGCATTTCTACCTACGTACGGACGCGTATATCGCGCCACAACGCAAACATAACAACGAAAACATTTGCGTAACAACGCAAACATTTGTGCAAAAACGCAAACCTTTGCGTTATTTAACGCAAATATCAATTTCCGAAACAACGCCAACCTTAGCAAACTAACGAAAACCTTTGCGAAATAACGCAATAACGTTATACTTCAACTTGGCAAAACCTTTGTGAAATAACGCAAAACAAGTTTCAAGGGGAGCAGCTGTTATAAATGGAGGAGGCTGTATGTATTTTACGATGATTTTATCACTCTTTGCGAGTATTGCAAAGTAAAATGCTGGAGTGTTTAGTATATATCATGGCATAATAATGAGCAGGAGAATACTAAAAATCAACACTGTTAATGTAGCCGAGTTTAAATATACTTCCAAAGTAAGCGCTCGTATGAGACGGTGTAAGATTGGTTAGACCCAAACAAGCTACCCTATTGAAATAAATGAATAAGATGAAGATTTTATATTGTTATACTCAGTATGTACTCTACAAATTTAAAACCCCTTGATTTTGTATCAAAGAATATTTATCCTATTCTGAGATTTCAAAAAACGATTTCTTACATCAAAACTCAAAATGTTTCATTCTAAATATAATTAATTTTAGAGCCGAAAGATCATTTTGTCTATTTTCACAATTGTATGAGACTTTTTTTGCTCTTCTCTATACTTTGATACTGTCTGTAAATCAAAATTTTCAAATTCTGGGCCTTTCAATTGAAATTTGCCCATACCGTATCTATTTTCAGGATAAATTTATATAATTAACTGATACAAAAATCATTCTTAAAATGTGTATAATTTCGATACAAGTATTCCATTATTCATATCTGGGACTAATACATTTAATATATTAATTAGTCTTAGTTCCTATGTATCTTTATGATAATGATTTGGTCTTGGGTTCATGGTCCTTCTCTTAACTAAATCACAACCAAATTTTACGGGCAGAAGGACATGCAAATACCGATAATTGCGAACTTTCTATTTCTATGTAGCAACATTCCAGCAGCGCCTGCATATGGAACATATATCTCCCAGATAGGATATCCCAGGGCTTGTATTTCCTATACACATGGCTATTTAGTCCAATCCGGAAAAAACAATCATTTAGACAACTTCCTGTTTAGGTCATCAGTAACGAGCTGAGGGAGGGAAAAATTTAGAAAGCGATCAATAGGAAACTTTGATAGATTATGATCCACTTTTTCGAAACTCAAATTATAGTCAAAAAAATATTTTGTTTGAAGTACTTACGATGTTTTAAACAGGTCTCAATAAAAAGTATCATGCATGATGCATTGTTTAAACAGGGTCCTAGATAGCTTCAACTGGATGAAAAAGTTGTGTAATTTTAGAAATTATCCGGAATGGAATAAATAGCGATTAGGTGTATTATGATTTCCTTAATAGGGGGTTGCTTCTCACATGCAAGGAAGCTACTAAACCAAGAGTTCAAAGTGGTGATGTTGAAATCATCCCTTCTTAAATTTTACGGACGCCATCACGATTTGATTGAAGGTTATGGAATATCTGTTTCACAGATGACGACAGATATGTTCCATTTGTCGTAATTACAATCCCATCCTCTTTTCCCCGAATGTGACCTACCGAATTATATTTATCACCGGATTTGCACTTACATGAGCAACACGACGGGTGCCACATGTGGAGCAGGATCTGCTTACCTTTCATGAGCACATATGATGTGGTCGTGTCATTATATTATGTGCTTGTAACATTATATGATGTGGTTCGGTTTACTTCATTATATGATGTCAACACGTCCTTATATGATGTGCGTTCGTCGTTTTTATGGTCAATAAACATGAATACGATTAGAACGATTACTGTCTTCGTCAAAACTGATTCCGATCAGCTTCTTCGGAACCCCGTTCAAATATGTAGCTGTCGTTTGGAAAATGAACGAGATTTTAAAAGAGTTAAACCTTGGCACGTTGGAACCTCGTTTTAAAGTTAATAAAATCACAGTTAGATATTATTGAAAAATTGTCAAAATATTAATTTAAAAGGTTTAATCAATGGGACCACAATGATGAACCTACGGTAAAGTGTTTAAATCTTCGACTGTGTACTGAGCACCTGGAGTTCAAATATTTGATATACCAGAGGATATTCTGCATCATTTTTTTTTTTTTTTTTTTTGTATGCCATTTTACTGTTTAGGAGCTTCTATCAGCTTCCGAAAGTACAATCTATAGAAAAATGAGACAGTGCAATTTAACAAAAATCAACGTTTCCAACATTTCGCAGGAAGATTTAGATCCACTTTTAATACAGGGGTTATAGTTGTAGAGTTTCCTTCGCTGTGACGAAAATATGGAAAAAGAACTTTTCGTTTAACCTCGCCACATTCTGTATGTGCTTTTCCCAAGTCAAAAGCCTGTTATTCATTGGTTGTCGTTATTTGCTACATGTGCATCATATTTGGTTTTTAGTTTATAATTGTTTTATTATAAATCAGGCCGTTTATTTTCTTGTTTGAATTTACATTTGTCATTTCAGGGCCTTTTATAGCTTACTATGCTATATGGGGTTTGCTCGTTGTTGAAGGGCACCGAACTGTTACAAGGAAGGTTATGACGTTGCTAACGTAATTTTTTTTTTCGCGGTCAACAGTTTTCGGTTTTCAGTTTAACAATGTCTGTCTACTTTATATCGAACGGGTATATGCATATCTAATACAAAATGTGATTTTATGATTCTTTCGTTACAGCATGATATTCGTTTTGAAGTTAATCTTTTTGTTACTTCTAACACATGAAGCAAGAGCTGAGGTCTCTTTGATGAATGGAGATGCAATTATAAATGGACTTTTTGATATATATAATTCGAATAATGGCAGATGTTCCTCAGACATCAGTCCATCCTCTGTTAAAAACTTTGAAGCTATAAAGTGGACATTACGGATGATCAACAGTAACAATTATGTACCTGGAATTAAAATTGGTAATAATTAAATATTCATTTGATAATCATTTTTACTTTTGTTTTCAATTTAATGCGAATAGTAATATAGTTTTAAACTACGCATTAGTATATGTTAGAATATAGCAAAGTACTCTCGACCAATGAAATTGTAGAATTGGATGCCTCTTAATTGTGAAGAATGAATGTAAATCATGTTCTTAGTAAGGGATTATCCTATTATTTGGGTCTATTTACAGTTCAAAACAAAGAGTTTCTATAAATGAGTTATAACTGCCCCGAAGCACATTTATCAGATTGAAAGGATTTATCACACAGTGATTGAAACTGACTAAAAGTTAAATTGTGAAACAAACAAAAATCTCAAAATAAGTTGAAGTTTACTGGTGCAGTAAAATTGGTACCGTGAATTTTATTATGAAAATATTAATAACTTCAAATTACTATAAAATTAAACAATACCAAAGCAATGAAAAAAAAATTCCTTCAGATAAAAAATAACCTAAATCTTATTGGCTGTGAAATAAAATTTAGTTGTAACTCAAAAGTATTAATTGATTTAAACTGTAAATAAAAAAGGATAATTCCTCACTAAAATATTACATGATTTACATTCATACTCATAATCAGGAACCATACAATTTCTACCTTTTCTTTCTACTGTTGTGTCACCTAATATCTAAAACGCTTTTTTTTTAAATATTTCCCAAATGATAAGAAAGTCCTCACATCACTAAAACTTATCCATAAATGACATGCCGAAAAAGGAAGTCATGCATCAATTATAAACATTGCACTGACAATGAAACTAATTCTTGAATAGATCATTTGAACCTTGAGCACTTTACAATATTCTAAGGGATTATCATTCTCTTACATCCCAGTTCTATTGTTATACTTCATAGTTTCTATTTCTGAAACATGTGTAAATTGAACAGATTTATTGTTACGAATAACAATGGATTTTGACCACAGGGTGTGACGAGCGGGGTTTCTGGAAACCCCTGCTTCTACATCCTGCAAACAAAGTCCATTGTTATTCGTAACAATAGAAATTGATTTATTTTTTAAATAGCATGAACATAAGAAATAACTAATAGTGTTCACTACAAATTGTTTCATGGTATTAAAAAAAACACATTTTAGGAAATTCCAATAAGCATCTATATGGAATACAAATATAATCCTTTAAATACTCTTTTGCTTGAAGGTATTTTTTTTATCCCAGTCATATGTCTCTATTCTAAAGCATTGATCTTTAAAAAAAATGGAGATTCTAACACCCGGACATACCTCCCACAACCCCCCCCCCCCCCCTCCCCCCTCCCCCGGTTACCAAATGGCCGATCCGGGGTTGGGGTTCCGCGGGTTGGACCCGACTTTTATTTAAAAGATCAATGCATTTAAATGGTTGGACCCCCCTTTTTCTCTTGAGTTGGGAACCTCCGGGATCAGCCCCTGATTGCCCCTAAAAAGGGAGTTCCTAGATATATTATTTATTGTATGTTGAGCGTGTCTGGTAGTCGGGTTTTTAATGCAGACACAACTATCCCTTAGTATGTTCGAATATAAATGTTGGTTTATTCTCGAGAAGAGGGGGGGGGGGGCTTTGTTTTTGATAAAATCGTAAGATATAAAATACAGTTATGATTACCTTTATTAAACTGATACAGGTAAGTATTTTGGGTTATAATATTGCCTTTATCTTTAGTCTCTTCTACCAAATCCAACGCTTGCCACAAAATGCCGTCCGTGTTATACCCGTCCATATTGACAACTGTATACCAGGAGCATGACGTATTTTTTGTTTGTAATAAGAATACACGAAACAGTCAACCTTGACCTGCTGATCCATATAAGCACATGGATTTAACGGGAATATGCTAAACAACTTTGACATTTGTAAAATATACTCAAAGTTTGAACGAAGATCAAAGAAAGGTTACTAGTGGGGTTTCATGTAATAAAAACAATATTTTTATAAATCATGGTTTGATCTTGTCAATAAATATGCTATCGGTTTTTTTTCATTTAATAATCAATGTTAACAAATATAGTGTTTAGAATGGGGTGTAAGTTAGTTATACACCTCGGGATACGGCGTGTCTGGATAAGAAACCCCTCCGGCCTCCGGCCGACTGGGTTTCTTATCCAGACACACCTATCCCTCGGTGTTTAACTATTACTTACAAACTTAGAATATTGTAAAGTGCTCAAGGCTCAAATGTCCTATTCAAGAATTAGTTTCATTGTCATTGCAATGTTTATAATTGATGCATGACTTCCTTTTTCGGCATGTCATTTATGGATTAGCTTTAGTGATGTGAGGACTTTCTTATCATTTGGGAAATATTTTTAAAAAAAAAATGCGTTATAGATATTAGGTGACACAACAGTAGAAAGAAAAGGTAGGAATTGTATGTTTCCTAATTGTGAGTAGGAATGTAAATCATGTAATATTTTAGTGAGGAATTATCCTTTTTTTATTTACAGTTTATATCAATTAATACATTTGAGTTACAACTAAATTTTATTTCACAGCCAATAATTTGGTCCGGCTTTTTACATCAAATACTGTTTCATTATGTCAGGGAAATGTTAAAAAATAATGCCCTTAAAAGTTTTTAATATGTTCAAAATTAAATTCCTGTTTTATATAAAATACATGTATTGGAAATAACTATTCTCCCCAACCGCTGATCAAGTAATCAAAGTTTTGGAAAGCTAAAGATTTAGGTTATTTTTTATCTGAAAGATTTTTTTCTTTTTTTTTTTTGCATTGCTTTGGTATTGTTTAATTTTATAGTAATTTGAAGTTATTAATATTTTCATAATAAAATTCAAGGTACCAATTTTACTGCACCAGTAAACTTCAACTTATTTTGAGATTTTTGTTTGTTTCACAATTCAACTTTTAGTCAGTTTCAATCACTGTGTGATAAATCCTTTCAATCTAATAATTGTGCTTCGGGCAGTAGTAACTCATTTAAAGAAACTCTTTGTTTTGAACTGTAAATAGACCCAAATAATAGGATAATCCCTTACTAAGAACATGATTTACATTCATTCTTCACAATTAAGAGGCATCCAATCCTACAATTTCATTGGTCGAGAGTACTTTGCTATATTCTAAATGTGTGCAGGTGGTCTTTTCCCGAAATTTAATTGTGTAATTTAGACAATCCTTTTTTTTTACTAATAGCCGCTACAGGCTGTTGTTAGTTAAACCAGATAGTACGGTGAGATAAACTTTCCCGTTCATACATTGTAATATGATTGTGATAGTCATTTTGAATTCTAATTTATCCATGTAGAGCTCTACAAAGGCAAACTCTTAAAAAAATAAAGTTACAAGAATAAATTTCTATAACCTGAAGCTTAAAATTTTTTTTATCCTACAAAATAAATCAAAAGAGTATTAGAGACAAGTATCAAGTCTCTAGACAAAACTGAACTCTATTTCGTCAAAGCCTTGACACACTACAAATAACTTCTTGCGTCGAGTTTTTGCTGTAGTCATATAAACTGCAGAGTCACTGATATTTCCACAACACGTGACATTGAGTTTACTTGATTGGGCGAGTCTACGTATTAGTACACCCCTCACAACCATATGGACGCCCCTTCGGCGTATGATGTTCGGGCGCGTTTACTTACAGAAAGCTTAACATTCTTTCAAACTGGCCGGAATCACTGGCGTCTTATTGAAATTGACCCTTCCTTAACAGAGATTTTTCTATCACTTCCTGTTATGGCTTACCACAGATATAAAAATCTTAAAGATATACTCGTTACATCAAAGTAATATAAAAAAAAAACAAGAGACCTCGAAAATCGGCTGTAAAAAACATGCAGAAGAACCAATTGTAAGTGCTGTAAAGTCGCCAAAACTGAAAACACTTTAGTCAGCATAGTAACAAATCATCTATACATCAATTCTTCACCTAACTGTAAAAAGGAAAATAGTATTATGTTCTTACTTGTGGAACATGCAAGCTGCAATATGTTGGCGAAGCAGAAACCAAATTTAAGTTCAGACTAATTAAACTGGTCACTTTATACCATAGGAAGAAACTGCCCAATCACGAGATACCTATTACACAGGACATTTTTTTGAAAATATCAACTTTAAAATAATAGAGGCTTACCAAAATTGGGACACACAAAGAAGAAAAAAAAAGAATTTTTTGATGCATCAGTTACGTACTCTTAAACCCGAAGTACTCAATGAGAAAGATATAAAAAAACATTTTATTATAAACCAAAGTAATAAACCTTGAACTTCATAAAATTTACACAACTTTTAGATCTCTTTGAACGAACTGTACAATAAGCTGCAAAATTTTGTTTTCAGCATCCAAGACAAGAGGAACACTCATGGTAGTAAAATTGTTAGAATAATATTTAGAAAAAGTAAATGGGTTTAAACCAACCATATTGTGTGCCTGCACCAAGTCAGAATACTTGCCCCATGGGTTGTGTTTGTTGTTTGTCCTTGTGTGTAACCCTTTTCAGAGGAATCGGTTGTATTGTTCAATATTTTCATGTAATTCCCTCTACTTTTTTTTTCGTGTGGCGTTTTGTCTGAGGTGATTTTGATTTTTGTTTTGTGTTCAGTTTTAAGGGGTTCTCATTGACGTTTACTCCCAATCTCTTTTGATTAAGATTGTACAATTGCGGTGTAGGTTCAAGTAAGATGTAGTTCCTTCAAAATTTTATATGTAACGGTTTTCTCATAGAGACGCATTTATGTTATAATTATAGATTATCGTTGGTCATCTCAACGAGATTGATTTTCTCTCTTGAGCCGGTACGGCGAAAGTAAGAAAAACAATCGAGTTGAGATGACCAATGATAATCTGTTTATCGCTATTTTACCTATGACGTTGTTAATTTCATTGACAACGGCACGTGCGCCCTTAGTTTCTAGCGATAATTTTTCATATCACTCTACTGTGCTGCGAAAGGAAATTATCAGTCAGTAAGATCAAAGGAAAATTTCGTAAAATAGCGATAATCTTCATTTTCATATTCATTTATTCTTTATGCATTTATTTAACAGGAATTCAAGCCTGGCCGACCTGTGGTCTTGTTTCAGAAGCCAACGATAAAGCTATAGATTTTATTAATAAAATCCATTCAGACAAAACGGACACCAACTATCAATCTCCTCCTGTTATCGGTAGGTAAATTATTGAAGTAATGGTAAGATTAGAAACGTACTTGACCATAAGCAAAAGTATTTCCAGCAGTAAAGGACTAAAATATTACCCACAATTTCATTTCTTCATTTTCAAGAAGCAATAAATATTTATCCCTAGGCCCATAGAAACAACGTTTTAATTGGTGTTCGCGTTATCCTAAAGATTTGAAAATAAAGCATATTTCCTCTTATCACACATCTTCGCTAGCCAAGGGTTACGATCCACTTCCCTCCTCTCCACCCTTGGCAGATTGAGATAGAATTTCGGAGACACAAGGTAATGATTTTCATTGGTTGTAGTCGAAACTCGCTGCATCCAATCAAAAAGCGCCTATAACATGATCACGTGTAAATGTAGAAAGTGTATGTAAACAATTGCCACGTGCTTATTGTGCAACAAGTCCTTACTTCCCTAAACATACGACTATATTTAGTGACAATTTGAATGTTCTTAATCAACTAATAGAAGTTCCTGTGTAAGTTTGCACAAATGCATGAATGTCAACGTATATTTTCGTTTCCTGCTTTACCAAGTGTGTAGAATCTAGACGCTACCGTGTTTTTACCTCCAAATTGAGGAGTTTAAGTGCTCCCATTGGTCAAGAATAATGTATTCGGAATGGGCGTGACTTTAATCCACCGATAGATGGCGCAACATTGTTATTACAAATTTTGGCTTAATCTGCCAAGGGTGGAGAGGAGGGAAGTGGATCGTAACCCTTGGCTAGCAAAGATGCTTATCACAGGGCATGATAACATCAATATTTTTCTAATCAACCGTCGCTGACTTTTTGAACAAAAAATGATCTAACTCATAAAAATGTTGATTTGAGTATTTTTAATGGATTAAATTATATATCATTCTATCATGATTATTTGCCAATGGATGTTTATGAACCACCTATCAAATCAATCAATAAATCGTTATATGTATGTTGTGTACAAATTGTAATGTTGTACAAATTATAATTTGCACAGAATTTTTGTACAATTTATCAGTGTTTTATGAACCGCTTAACACAAATGGATGATACAAGCACACAGTCTTTTGTTTCGCATATTTCTGTCATATTTCCATGACTACATTATACAGTCTAATAATGAGCATTGCTACAAAAAACATTATAAGTACACAAAAAGACTTTTTATGGAAATGATTTTGGTATAAGGAGAAAAAAATAAAAAAGTTTTAGAACAGGGAGAATAGCACTAAATGTAAGGTTGAAGTATATGAATTTGAATTTAAGCTGAAATCTTTTAGAAGATAAACTTTTATCACCTGGTGCAAAAAGGTATGTGTCAAAAAAGTTATAACTCGTACAAAAACCCTGTACAAATTATACCTCCAAATTGAGGAGTTTAAGTGCTCCCATTGGTCAAGAATAATGTATTCGGAATGGGCGTGACTTTAATCCACCGATAGATGGCGCAACATTGTTATTACAAATTTTGGCTTAATCTGCCAAGGATGGAGAGGAGGGAAGTGGATCGTAACCCTTGGCTAGCGAAGATGCTTATCACAGGGCATGATAACATCAATATTTTTCTAATCATCCGTCGCTGACTTTTTGAACAAAAAATGATCTAACTGATAAAAATGTTGATTTGAGTATTTTTAATGGTTTAAATTATATATCATTCTATCATGATTATTTGCCAATGGATGTTTATGAACCACCTATCAAATCAATCAATAAATCGTTATATGTATGTTGTGTACAAATTGTAATGTTGTACAAATTATAATTTGCACAGAATTTTTGTACAAGTTATCAGCGTTTTATGAACCGCTTAACACAAATGGATGATACAAGCACACAGTCTTTTGTTTCGCATATTTCTGTCATATTTCCATGACTACATTATACAGTCTAATAATGAGCATTGCTACAAAAAACATTATAAGTACACAAAAAGACTTTTTATGGAAATGATTTTGGTATAAGGAGAAAAATAAAAATAGTTTTAGGACAGGGAGAATAGCACTAAATGTTAGGTTGAAGTATATGAATTTGAATTTAAGCTGAAATTTTTTAGAAGATAAACTTTTATCACCTGGTGCAAAAAGGTATGTGTCAAAAAAGTTATAACTCGTACAAAAACCCTGTACAAATTATAATTTGTACAAACTTGTATCTTGTACACACCATATATATTATATATGCACATAGTTATTTCCGACATTTATCAGTAGACTGAGAATTTTTTATAAAATTTAGACCTGTTTTAATTTTTGTTCATTCACATGTTTTGGAGTTTAGTGTGACGTCCATTTTCACTGAACTAGTACACAATTTTATTTAGGGGCCAGCTGAGAACCACCTCCGGGTGCGGGATTTTCTCGCTGCGTTGAAGACCCATTGGTGGCCTTCGGCTGTTGTCTGCTCTTTGGTCGGGATGTTGTCTCTTTGACATATTCCCCATTTCCATTCTCAATTCTATTAAAGTTATATCACTTGATAAATATGTTCTTCCGCGTTATAATTAATCAAGTAATACACTATACAGTCATGAAAGTTGTGGGATAATTTTAACTAAACTTTAAATAAATCTTTAAAATCTGCTACAATCCGATGATACAAGACTTAACATATTTTTGTATTCATCTATTAAACATAATTTAAACATTCACTCTACATGCTGTAGAAAAGAAATGATTATTTTCTATAGTTACATTATGCTATCATTTACATGGAATGTAGGGTTTAATGTATGAATACAATTTAAAAGACGACTGGGGCACATCTTTACAAATATATTTTATTTTATAATTTTTCAAATCTTTAACATGTTAAAGTTGAAGGCCCTTCCCATACAAAAATCCAACATCATTATTTGTTGTTAATAGCGAACGATTTAGCTGTCATATACATTTACTTTTCCATTGTTGATCGTTTCACATCTATAAACAACAAATATCTCACTAAATAAATAATTTAGAATATAGCAAAGTGCTCTCGGCCAATGAAATTGTAGGATTTGGTGTTTCTTAATTGTGAAGAATGAATGAAATCATGTTCTTAGTAAGGGATTATCCTATTGTTTAGGCCTACTTACAGTTTAAAACAAAGAGTTTCTATAAATGAGTTACAAATGCCCCGAAGCACATTTATCAGCTTGAAAGAATTTGTGATTAAAACTGACTAAAAGTTGAATTTTGAAAAAAAAAAAGTCAAAATTAGTTGAAGTTTTCTGGTGCAGTAACATTGGTTACTGGATCCGCGGTTGGTGAGTATAGTAATTTCCAATATTCTGATAAAATTCTAAAAAAAGGAAATTAGTTTAACTTTTGAATATATTAATATTGGCTGTAAAATAAAATTTATTTGTAACTCATATTTTGAATTTATTGATTTGAAATGGAAATAAACAACAAAAAAATAACGCTAAAATATTACATGATTTACATTCATACTCACAATCAGGAAACATTTCTTACCATTTCAGTGTACTGTTGTGTCATCTAATGTATAAAACATAATTTATGATATTTTCCAAAATTATAAGAAGGTCATAACATCACTAAAACTAATCCATAAATGAAATCATGCCTTAAAAGGAAGCCATGCATTAATTACAAACATTGCACTGACAATGAAACTAATTCTTAAATACAACCAACCAAGAGATCATTTAAGCCTTGAGCACTTTACAATATTCTAAGTTTGTAAGAGAATGATAATCCCTTACTTCATGATAAGTATATGTAAGAGAATGATAATCCCTTTCTTCATGATTAAGTACGAGCGTTAGCGAGTACTTATCATGAAGTAAGGGATTATCATTCTCTTACAAACTTAGAATATTGTAAAGTGCTCAAGGCTCAAATGATCTATTCAAGAATTAGTTTCATTGTCAGTGCAATGTTTTTAATTGATGCACGACTTCCTTTTTGGGCATGTCATTTATGGATTAGTTTTAGTGATGTAAGGACTTTCATATCATTTGGGAAATATTTTTTTTTTAAAAAGCGTTATAGATATTAGGTGACACAACAGTAGAAAGAAAAGGTAGGAATTGGATATGTTTCTTGATTGTGAGTATGAATGTAAATCATGTAATATTTTAGTGAGGAATTATCCTTTTTTTATTTACAGTTTAAATCAATTAATACATTTGAGTTACAACTAAATTTTATTTCACAGCCAATATTTTGGTCCGGCTTTTTACATCAAGTAATATTTCATTATTTCAGGGAAATGTTCAAAAATAATGCCTTTAAAAGTTTTTAATATGTTCAAAATTAAATTCCTGTTTTTTTTCATATAAATATTGGAAATAACTATTCTTCTCAACCACTGATCAAGTAATCAAAGTTTTTGAAAGCTAAACAATTAGGTTATTTTTTTATCTGAAAGATTTTTTTTCTTTTTTTGCTTTGCTTTGGTATTGTTTAATTTTTTTAGTAATTTGAAGTTATTAATATTTTCGTAATAACATTCACGGTACAAATTTTACTGCACCAGTAAACTTCAACTTATTTTGAGATTTTTGTTTGTTTCACAATTCAACCTTTAGTCAGTTTCAATCACTGTGTGATAAATCCTTCCAATCTGATAAATGTGCTTCGGGGCAGTTGTAACTCATTAATAGAAACTCTTTGTTTTGAACTGTAAATAGACCCAAATAATAGGATAATCCCTTACTAAGAACATGATTTACATTCATTCTTCACAATTAAGAGGCATCCAATCCTACAATTTCATTGGTTGAGAGCACTTTGCTATATTCTAAGTACTCGATAACGCTCGTACTTAATCATGAAGAAAGGGATTATCATTCTCTTACATATACGTAAATGCGTGAAGCAAGACTCAAATTAATTGTTACCGCCCGATAAAGGTGTATGAAAAATACAAGTCACTTTATAAGTAATTTATTGTACCAACTTAGTTTATGAAAGGGGGATGCTAGGTTTTTTTCGGGTTTTTTTCATGACACTTTTATCGCGGAAAAGCGGATTATTTTTTCAACAATTTTTAACGAATTGAACTGTTCAAAATAATTTCTATTTGAAAACATTTTTTTTTAAACTGAGAATCGGGATTAATTTTATTTTTACTCCTCCCACCCCAACAAAAGTACCTGGCTGTTATTCTATAGAAAATAAGAATATTTGATCATTTGATAGAGTAAAATGTATCTGCAGATGTAAAAAGTTCAGAACTGACACGAAGAGAGCACGAAATCGTGATACATGTACATGTAACACTAAAAAAGAATATCCATGCATGTAGGTCAAAGTATGATTTCCAATACAGTGTGATTCAATAAGATTTAAAAAGTACTACACACGAATGTGTTAAATCTGGCATGTTTTAAAAGTGTTGCATTATTTAATTCATATCACTTAAATTATTTCGATAAGGTTATACATGAATCAAATACATATTGAATTGCGGCAAAGAACAGATTATTTATATTATTTATGTATCCATTTTTCTATTCTAACATAAGATTAGATCATATAACCTGGTGCGTAAAACATAAGATAAAGCCATAACATAGTATAAAAAGTTTATATTATTGACAATGTAAAAATTTGTATTGAAATTTCAGATGAATAAAAATTTACCCCATAATACGGTTTGTCTGTGTTTAAAGATGTCGGACCATTGTAAACCATTTGTTAATGAGATGCATTTTTGTTGCTTTATTTTTTGATAATTAAATATTTTCAAGGCATTATCGGACCAGAACATAGTTCGGAAGCCGGAAGCATATCAATACTTCTTAGCTCACAAAGACCAACAGACAGATTGATACAGATCGGTTTCTCTACAACGGCATCTTCTCTTAGTAACACCAGTATATATCCTAACTTTTACCGTGTAGTTCCAAATGACAAGATACAAGTAGAGGTGAGAGCGAATTCTTAAAAAACTAATATTTTGACTACTTCAAATGAATTATAACTAAAAGATTTCTTGCCAAACTGTGTCAATGATGACATTGTCTATTATGACAAAATAATGGTAAAATTGAACTTTGGAAGCTCCTTAACGGACGCTATAATAATTTGATTGACTGTTTTCGAAAATCTGTGTAACAGATGGCTAGTTGTCAGAGCCACAATCCTGTTCTCTAAAGCTTATTTATGATATCACCTAATACGACAATATACCGGATTTTGGCTCGCCATGAGCCACTCGACGAAGTTTACAAATGTATGAATTATTCAGGAGTGTCGGGGGTTATTTTACAAAGATTAGAATTTCAACTCTTTGTTTTTTCAGGTAATGGTTGCCTTACTTAAGAGGCTAGAATGGAATTACATAGTAGTAATTTACGATATGGACACTTACGGGAAAGAAGGATATAAGAGTCTGAAAACTAGAGTCAAAAATGAAAATATCTGTATAAGGTCATCATTTGGTATTCCAATTGATGAAAACGGCGCAGTCACTTCGTCAACATTGAGAACGTTTCTTGACAATACAGCTCAGTTATCAGTGACTGGGGCTGTCGTTTTTTCAACCGCTGTTCATATTAAAATTCTTTTAAATGCGGCAAGTTTGAGATTAACTGAAACTAGTGATCAGATATCTTTTCTGTTTTCTGAAGGCATTGACCTGACAAGAAGTTCCGTGAGAGATAATGTAGATAATGTGTATGAACCCGCTAAAGGCGCGTATGTTACAGCTCCACCGAGGTCGTTCGTAAATGAATTTGAAAATTACTGGAAAAATATGTTTAAAAATATTTCTCGCCTTGTGGAAGAATCGGAAACCAACACCTGGCTCAAAAATGTATTTTCGTTTTATTCAGATAACAATTGCTTTCCTTCGAATGACTCTTCTAACCCTGGATGCGACGAACTTACCCAATCAGAAATTGAAAAAATAGGTGAGAATAATTTGTACACCAGCTACGCAATTGAATCCGCTTCTCTTCTTGGAAAACTTTTTAAAGATGTACATACCATCAAATGTTCTGGATCAGATGGCTTTTGCGAAAATATGAAATCAGTAATCTACAATGAGAAAGGCTTTATTTTGGACCAAATTAAAGATATTTCGGTTGATTTAAAGAAAGAAATGTCCTTTTTACCAGAGGTACTTGAAAATAAAACGTTGAGCTTTGCAAATACAGCGGATGTGATTGTTGATACACAGTATAATGTTTACAACACCAGGAAATGCCTAACAGACGATTCAAAGTTCTGTTTTGTTGAGGTAGGTATCAGGATAGTTATATCAGGCATTGATTTTAAGGCTTCGGAAAGGCATACTTTTAAATTTTATGGGCTATGTTGCATTCCTCTTTTTCGTCACACTTTTCTCAGAAACTACTGAACAATATTGCTTTAGATGAGTTGTAAAAAAACAGTATATTTCAGATCTGGACACCTACTTCCTGTTTGCAAATACTTTGAATATATCAATCTGTTGAATGAACTTATAAATTTTCGTCACATATAAAACGTTGTGTCACGAGTGAGAAAGTATGCTTAGCACGACATCTTGTGCATTCTTGTTATTTTTTTTAAATATCAAATTCAGTTTGGCCACTAGCTTGATTGCTTCATTTGAGAATGTATGCTATTATATTTTTTTTATGTAATATACAAGATGTTAAAAAATAAACGTATGATAACGAGACATGTTGGCTCGAGGAAAACTTTGTCACAACCAACAAAATATCTACGTTTATAAACGTCACATAGTAAAAAAGTGATTAAGCAAAACAGCGAAACGGTGTGACGTCAACTAATTCTGGTGGAGTTGTATATGTTCATCATTGGTTCTATACTTGTAAGATTAATAAAAAAAGGTATTTAGAAAATAAATATGCTTCTATTAAATAACCATTTTTAAATTATAACATAAGTAAGTTATAATTCATTGTTTTCTTTGTAATCATTGATACAGATAGGTAAGTACCTCAACAGTAGCTTAAATTTGGATACATCATTGATCAGAGACTATCATAAAAACAGTAATGGCAAAATATGGCCTAATATAAACCGTGCTCAATGTCTGGCTGGTCAAAAATGTTCAGCTTGTATCCTTGATGATTTAACCAAGGAAATACTTTATCAAGACGGAGATATTATAGTGGCTGGCATTATGCCTATCTACAATAAAGATCATGAAGATCCACTTAAATGCAATGGAATAAGAACAACACTCAGCGTTGAAATTGCTGAAGCGATGGAATTTGGTGTTTTAGAAGTAAATAAAAGAATAGGACAGTTTCAAAGTATATTTCCGGGGAAAAAGATTGGTTTTGCCTTCATCAATAGCTGTAATCAACCATTAGTAATTCAGAGTAAAATTTTAGAATTACTTCAGAAAGGAGTGCTGCAAAAGGACGGAACTTTTACACCAATCTCACAAAAACTTGTTGGATGGATTGGAGCATATGGAAGCAGTATTAGTTTAGCTGCTTCTCAGATTTTATCAAAGTTCGGTTATCTTCAAATTGCATATGCTTCAACGGCAGCTGTTCTGAGTGATAGAAACGAACACCCATACTTCATGCGCACGTGCACACCTGACGACAAACAAGCTAAAGCAATGATTAAAATAATCCAGGCACTGAAATCAGATTACATTCAAGTTGTGTATAGCGAAGGTACTTATGGGGAAGGGGGAAGAGATGCAATAAAAAAGGAGGCGCAGTTAGCAAACATTTGTGTACGCAATGAAATTGCAGTGAAGGAAGGAGAGGTTTACTACCAAATACTAAATAAGTTGAGAGTAAATCCTTCTGCGAAAATTGTAATTATGTTTTTACGCTCTCATGTAGTTGATTTGGTGACTACAGCAATAAATGAGCAAATGGACTATGGAGAATTCATGTTTATTGGGTCAGAAGCATGGGGTTATAGACCTGATCAATTCCAAGAAAAGAAAAAATTAGTAGGAAGTATTACTCTGGCTCTTAGGATGGCAGAAAACGACAATTTTACATCATATCTCAGAGACTTAAACGTCTATACAAGTACTCATGATCCATGGTTAAAGGAATATACCGAAAAGAAATTTAATTGCTATTTTCCTACAAGTTTTGATAAACTATCTAATGTCCCTTGCAACGACAATTTACGACTGACAGATGTACCGTCATATAAACAAGAAATTTGGACTCCTTTTGCATTAAATGCAATCCTAGTTTTACTGTCAGGCACTAGTGATGCCTTTAAAGAATTATGTGGATTAGACTCCTCTAGTCTTTGCGACCGATATCGACTTAATCCAAATACTGTTAGAAAATGGGTGCTACAACAAACATTTGATATTGCAAATGACGGAAATGTGATCAGAATGTTTGATGAAAATGGAGACGGAAATGTTGGATACAGAATCTATAATATTCAACGAAGTCAAGAAGATAGTAACGTTTTGTTATATGTACAGGTAAACAATTATAACAATTATCACGATGATGATGATAATGATGATTTGGTCTTTATTAGAAGTAAATATCTATAGTTGCAACCAAAAACTGTTTTCCCCAAGATGTGTCAGGAAATACATGAACGATTTCTTATACTGTCGATATGCGTTCACAGCAAAAATATTATACGCTGACCTATAATTGCCTATATCCACATTATTTGAAACCTGGTGGATATTTGTCTCATTAGCAATCATACTACATCTCATTTTTTTTATATTGAAAATACATCATTAGGTACGCTCGTAACAAACAAACACAAACAAAAGGGAAGCAAATGCATGAAATCGTCTATTTGTTGGTATTCTCGTTGAAAAATCAGTGCCTCATACTTGACCTCTTAACTTTACTCAAGAAGGCTATTGTCGAAATATTTTCTATTCACTTTTCTCAAGAGGGCTATTGTCGATCTATTTTCTATTAATATTTCTAAAGATGGCTATTGTCGAACTATTTTGTATTCATCTGATGGACTTGACGGTTTAGATATGAGAAGAATCAAAGCGAACGCATGTCCCGTCGTTGATGAACGTATAATTTCCGTTTTTGTATTATTTTGTCGGAAATATTTACACCATATCTATCTTTATTCATAATTAAAACTATCCTCAAAACCCACGATTATTATGTGTTCGGTTATTCTCCAAGTCGACAGGAAGTCAAATTTCAGTATTCAATAACTATACGTAAATGAATACTTTTTATTTTTATTGGGTGAAACTCAATCTATCTTGTCAAATGTTCAAATTTATCTATTAAGTACCATGATGTGATATTGAGTATTTCTTTTAAACATATTTCAATCATACCTTATTCTTTAATGACATTCTAGCTTTCCCATAAAATTGGTTTTTTAAACATCATATGAGAGACTCATGAATGTATACAAGGAACGGTTGAAATCATACACTAAAATTGACTTTTTCTTTTAAGTATGAAAATAAATATAACATAGCAGCTAATAAATAGCATAAATTTTCTCTTTTCAAACTTAAATCTAAAATCTAAGGTAAAATTTTGAATACCGTTAACGTTGCGAAATATTTTAAAATTGGAATTATCTTGCATTTGAAAGAAAAAATGAAATAGCCGCAATTGAAAATCATTAAATCATTTAAAATCTTATTCTGAATTATGGGATTTTCTGCAAAACAAATTCCTTTTAGAAACATACTGAAATTTTTCATGTTGTCTTTGTTGCATTTACATACTAAAATGTTTTCATGCTGCCTGTGTTGCTGATTCATACAGAAGTTGTTTAATTCCTTTTAGATACATACCGAAATTGTTTCATGTTGCCTTTGTTGTGGTTACATACTGAAATGTATCATGCAGCCTTTGTTGCAGTTACATACTGAAATGTTTCATCCTGCCTTTGTTGAGGTTATAACTAAAATTGTTTTTTTTACAGCTACATACTAAAATTGTTTCATGTTGTCTCTGTTGCAGTCACATACTAAAATTGTTTCATGCTGTCTTTGTTGCAGTCACATACTAAAATTGTTTCATGCTGTCTTTGTTGCAGGTACATACTAAAATTGTTTCATGCTGTCTTTGTTGCAGGTACATACTAAAATTGTTTCATGCTGTCTTTGTTGCAGTCACATACTAAAATTGTTTCATGCTGTCTTTGTTGCAGTTACATACTAAAATTGTTTCATGCTGCCTTTGTTGCATTTACATACTAAAATTGTTTCATGCTGTCTTTGTTGCAGTCACATACTAAAATTGTTTCATGCTGTCTTTGTTGCAGTTACATACTAAAATTGTTTCTTGTTGTCTTTCTTGAAGTTACATACTGAAATTGATTCATTTTGCCTATGTTGCTGAAATTGTTTTATGTTGCCTTTATTGCAGTGACATTCTGAAATTGTTTTATATTGCTTTTGCTGCAGTTACAAATTTAAATTAATTCATATTGCCCTTGCTGCATTTACATACTGAAATTGTTTCATTTTGCCTTTAGTGCAGTTACATACAGAAATTGGTTCATATTGTCTCTGTTGCAGTTACATACTAAAATTGTTTCATGCTGTCTTTGTTGCAGTTAGATACTAAAATTGTTTCATGTTGTTTTTGTTGCAGTTACATACTAAAATTGTTTCATGTTGTCTTTGTTGCAGTTACATACTAAAATTGTTTCATGTTGTTTTTGTTGCAGTTACATACTAAAGTTGTTTCATGCTGTCTTTTTTGCAGCTACATACTAAAATTGTTTCATGTTGTCTCTGTTGCAGTCACATACTAAAATTGTTTCATGCTGTCTTTTTTGCAGCTACATACTAAAATTGTTTCATGTTGTCTCTGTTGCAGTCACATACTAAAATTGTTTCATGCTGTCTTTTTTGCAACTACATACTAAAATTGTTTCATGTTGTCTCTGTTGCAGTTATAACTAAAATTGTTTCATGCTGTCTTTGTTGCAGGTACATACTAAAATTGTTTCATGCTGTCTTTGTTGCAGTCACATACTAAAATTGTTTCATGCTGTCTTTGTTGCAGTTACATACTAAAATTGTTTCATGCTGTCTTTGTTGCAGGTACATACTAAAATTGTTTCATGCTGTCTTTGTTGCAAGTACATACTAAAATTGTTTCATGCTGTCTTTGTTGCAGTCACATACTAAAATTGTTTCATGCTGTCTTTGTTGCAGTTACATACTAAAATTGTTTCATGCTGCCTTTGTTGCATTTACATACTAAAATTGTTTCATGCTGTCTTTGTTGCAGTCACATACTAAAATTGTTTCATGCTGTCTTTGTTGCAGTTACATACTAAAATTGTTTCTTGTTGTCTTTCTTGAAGTTACATACTGAAATTGATTCATTTTGCCTATGTTGCTGAAATTGTTTTATGTTGCCTTTATTGCAGTGACATTCTGAAATTGTTTTATATTGCTTTTGCTGCAGTTACAAATTTAAATTAATTCATATTGCCCTTGCTGCATTTACATACTGAAATTGTTTCATTTTGCCTTTAGTGCAGTTACATACAGAAATTGGTTCATATTGTCTCTGTTGCAGTTACATACTAAAATTGTTTCATGCTGTCTTTGTTGCAGTTAGATACTAAAATTGTTTCATGTTGTTTTTGTTGCAGTTACATACTAAAATTGTTTCATGTTGTCTTTGTTGCAGTTACATACTAAAATTGTTTCATGTTGTTTTTGTTGCAGTTACATACTAAAGTTGTTTCATGCTGTCTTTTTTGCAGCTACATACTAAAATTGTTTCATGTTGTCTTTGTTGCAGGTACATACTAAAATTGTTTCATGCTGTCTTTGTTGCAGTTACATACTAAAATTGTTTCATGCTGTCTTTGTTGCAGGTACATACTAAAATTGTTTCATGCTGTCTTTGTTGCAGGTACATACTAAAATTGTTTCATGCTGTCTTTGTTGCAGTCACATACTAAAATTGTTTCATGCTGTCTTTGTTGCAGTTACATACTAAAATTGTTTCATGCTGCCTTTGTTGCATTTACATACTAAAATTGTTTCATGCTGTCTTTGTTGCAGTCACATACTAAAATTGTTTCATGCTGTCTTTGTTGCAGTTACATACTAAAATTGTTTCTTGTTGTCTTTCTTGAAGTTACATACTGAAATTGATTCATTTTGCCTATGTTGCTGAAATTGTTTTATGTTGCCTTTATTGCAGTGACATTCTGATCTTGTTTTATATTGCTTTTGCTGCAGTTACAAATTTAAATTAATTCATATTGCCCTTGCTGCATTTACATACTGAAATTGTTTCATTTTGCCTTTAGTGCAGTTACATACAGAAATTGGTTCATATTGTCTCTGTTGCAGTTACATACTAAAATTGTTTCATGCTGTCTTTGTTGCAGTTAGATACTAAAATTGTTTCATGTTGTTTTTGTTGCAGTTACATACTAAAATTGTTTCATGTTGTCTTTGTTGCAGTTACATACTAAAATTGTTTCATGTTGTTTTTGTTGCAGTTACATACTAAAGTTGTTTCATGCTGTCTTTTTTGCAGCTACATACTAAAATTGTTTCATGTTGTCTTTGTTGCAGGTACATACTAAAATTGTTTCATGCTGTCTTTGTTGCAGTTACATACTAAAATTGTTTCATGCTGTCTTTGTTGCAGGTACATACTAAAATTGTTTCATGCTGTCTTTGTTGCAGGTACATACTAAAATTGTTTCATGCTGTCTTTGTTGCAGTCACATACTAAAATTGTTTCATGCTGTCTTTGTTGCAGTTACATACTAAAATTGTTTCATGCTGCCTTTGTTGCATTTACATACTAAAATTGTTTCATGCTGTCTTTGTTGCAGTCACATACTAAAATTGTTTCATGCTGTCTTTGTTGCAGTTACATACTAAAATTGTTTCATGTTGTCTTTCTTGAAGTTACATACTGAAATTGATTCATTTTGCCTATGTTGCTGAAATTGTTTTATGTTGCCTTTATTGCAGTGACATTCTGAAATTGTTTTATATTGCTTTTGCTGCAGTTACAAATTTAAATTAATTCATATTGCCCTTGCTGCATTTACATACTGAAATTGTTTCATTTTGCCTTTAGTGCAGTTACATACAGAAATTGGTTCATATTGTCTCTGTTGCAGTTACATACTAAAATTGTTTCATGCTGTCTTTGTTGCAGTTAGATACTAAAATTGTTTCATGTTGTTTTTGTTGCAGTTACATACTAAAATTGTTTCATGTTGTCTTTGTTGCAGTTACATACTAAAATTGTTTCATGCTGTCTTTGTTGCAGTTACATACTAAAATTGTTTCATGTTGTCTTTCTTGAAGTTACATACTGAAATTGATTCATTTTGCCTATGTTGCTGAAATTGTTTTATGTTGCCTTTCTTGAAGTTACATACTGAAATTGATTCATTTTGCCTATGTTGCTGAAATTGTTTTATGTTGCCTTTATTGCAGTGACATTCTGAAATTGTTTTATATTGCTTTTGCTGCAGTTACAAATTTAAATTAATTCATATTGCCCTTGCTGCATTTACATACTGAAATTGTTTCATTTTGCCTTTAGTGCAGTTACATACAGAAATTGGTTCATATTGTCTCTGTTGCAGTTACATACTAAAATTGTTGGATGCTGTCTTTGTTGCAGTTAGATACTAAAATTGTTTCATGTTGTTTTTGTTGCAGTTACATACTAAAATTGTTTCATGTTGTCTTTGTTGCAGTTACATACTAAAATTGTTTCATGCTGTCTTTGTTGCAGTTACATACTAAAATTGTTTCATGTTGTCTTTCATGAAGTTACATACTGAAATTGATTCATTTTGCCTATGTTGCTGAAATTGTTTTATGTTGCCTTTCTTGAAGTTACATACTGAAATTGATTCATTTTGCCTATGTTGCTGAAATTGTTTTATGTTGCCTTTATTGCAGTGACATTCTGAAATTGTTTCATATTGCTTTTGTTACAGTTACAAATTGAAATTAATTCATATTGCCCTTGCTGCATTTACATACTAAAATTGTTTCATGTAGTCTTTGTTGCAGTTTCATACTGATATAAAAATAAGGAGATGTGGTATGATTGCCAATGAGACAATTATCCACCAAAGTTCAAATTAAGTGGATGTAAGCAATTATAGGCAAATGCACGGCCTTCAACAATGAGAAAAATCCATATCGTATTATCGGCTATAAAAAGGCACCGACATGAAAAATATGAAACTATTCAATTGAGAAAACTAACGGCCTAATTTATAACAAAACACTTTAAACAAATATGACAGACATGAACCAACGACAACCACTGAACTACAGACTCTTCCTGACTTGTCACAGGCACATAAAGCATGTGGCGGGGTTTAACATGTTCGTGAGTTCTCAACCCTCCCCTAAACAGGTACAGTGGTGTTACAGCACACCATAAGAACAAACAAATGTTACCTTTGTTGCAGTTACAAATTAATAAACAATATTAGTACAGTGTAGGAAAATATATATATAATTTATTTGTGCTACCTTTCGAAACGGAGGGAAAAGCGAGGCTAGCCTGTTTCGTAGCGAGTACAAATAAAAAAAAAACAGTATTTCGTTGATAAATTTAGAAAAAGTTAAGAAACAAAGGTTCCTTTTGGTTATACTTTTTATGTCCCCTTTGGTCATCTTCAAATGTAGCTTCTCGAGTATTTAATTATTGTGTTTGAGCGTTCCTAATGAAGGTAAATCCAGAAAAGCGCTTAGAACGAACTAACATATATAAAGCGTTATTTTCATTTTACTTGGATTTTACTTGGATGGAGAGTTGTCTCATTGGCACATATACCACATCTTCTTATTTATTTTTTAATTGTAAGTCACGTTTTCTTCGTATTGTAATTGATAGAAAATTTAAATGACAAGATTACTTATAGGAAATTTCAAAGTCTTTAAGAATATTTTTCTATGTTGTCCGACTTATTATTATTATGGAAGACTTTAGCTCGTGTGTTAAATAACTGTATTATAGAAACTGTAGACTACGCATCAGTGCAATTGAAACCCAACATCATAATTGATGCAAAACGTTTTATAAATGTTGAACTAATGTAGGTTTTTGTTATGATTTTGCAGGTAGGACAATCACCGTTGGATGAAGCAAATTTTAAATTTGAAACAGAAACGGTGGTAAAACCTGAAGGCATGGTACTACCGTCAGGGTGTCCGAATACAAAGGCCTGCAGTGAATGTTTTCCGAATGAAGCTAAAGCGCCAAATGGTGTAGGAATGATTAGGTAAAAAATATATTGATCACATATATAAATTACAGAGGACATTCATGATTAGAAATCTTGTGAAACAGGTATTGCACTTTCACTCCCTAAAACTCCATGAAAAACTTCGATCAAAGAAATATCTTATAACTTCCACGTATGGAGACAAGATACCAATTAAAACCATAAAACAGCCAGATATATGCTAGGAAAATATACAAATATGACAGAAACAAACATGGCAGACAGCAACCAAGGACAACCACCGAATTTGAGGCTCCTGGCTTATGTCTGGCACATAAAGAAAGCGCTAAATCCCCCATAACCTGTGAAAGTTGTGTAACAGTACAGCATAAGAACAAAATATAAAAATCAGTTGGAAAGAGCTTTCCTCATCAGATTGCCACGAAACACACATAAACAAAGAAAACGACAAAAGACACAGTGTACTGGTCAGTTACTGGAAGCTAGTTCAAACAACGAATAAAGTAATCATGTTTTGAGTAGAGTAAGACACCAATCAGCTCGTATGCTGTTTTGAAATATGTTTAATTTTGATATATATACTTTACTCAAATTTGTACATTTTTGCAGTGATGACAGCAACAAAACAGTTACAACAGTATTAGGAGCATTTGTCGGTGTTTTAACACTGGTTGTTACAATTTTGGTGGGATGCATTTTTATGATGAAACGGAATCGCTACCCAGGTAAGATGTTATTTTTGCCTAGGGACTTATTGTATTATTTAGAACGGAAATATGTATATATTTACTTTGTTGCATTAATAGGAGAGGAAAGATGATTCTATATCAGTATGACATGAGTGTCCTGAAGTTACTTTTTGCCTGTTTTATCTTTATGAATTATGTTTTTTTAATCAGTGACTAAATTAAAATCATGTAAAATTAAAAAGGTGTAATAATATATTGTATTCCTTTATTTCAACATGTTTAATATTTCAGATGATGGGACATATCTAGATGCCACTGATCCATACTTGACACCTTTTGATAGAAATCGAGACAGCAGCAACGTATATTCGAGGTCAACGGAATCTCCAAACAATTCAGCCGATTCCGGCATAGCTGTAATTGATACCAATATATGACTTATTGTGATATTTGCAACATTTCTATAATGCTGATTGCTTTTTTAAGTCAAAACTAAATTTGATATAAAATTACCATTTCAATATTATGTTCAGAACTTTTAAAGTAGTTATCAGGATTAGTAAAATTGAGAATGGAAATGGAGAATGTGTCAAAGAGACAACAACCCGACCATAGAGCAGACAACAGCTGAGTTCAGTGATAATGGAAGTCATACTACACTCCAAATTATAAACAGGAAACTAAAATTTAAAATGATACAAGACTAACAAAGGCCAGAGGCTCCTGACTTGGGACAGGCGCAAACATGCGGCGGGGTGTGAACTTCTAGATTCAAAATCGCCAAAGATCAGTGTGTTTGTAACATGTTATGTATCATTTCGCGTATCGTCAATGTATATGGGTAAAGCGTGCAATATGTATGTTATGAAATGCAAAGGATGAAATATGATAAAAGATATGTTAAAACCCATCATTTGAAAAATGAAGGAATTCTACAGTCGCTGATTCTTTTTGTGTTCATTTTGATTCAAAACAAATACGAAAACATGGTCTGAAGAGCATAATTCTCAATATCGATTTCACAGAGCCCTTACTATTATTGACCGATAATGCTTATCTGATTCATAGTTCTTTAAAAATGAAAATTACATGTTATATCATGTCAGTACCGAAGTACTGACTACTGAGCTGATGATACCCTCGGGGACTGATAGTCCACCAGCAGAGGTATCGACCCGGTGCTGTAAAAAATGAAAACAACACGCTTTAAATTTTATGCGTCCGAAGCGCTTTTCTTGATTAATCTTCATCAGAAACGCTCAAAGCCAATTATTTGAAAGCCAAGGATGTATGAAAACCGAAACAGCTGAAGAGCTATATGACCAAAAAGGACCTAAATAATTAACAAATCTATCTAAGGTCAACTTAGCTGGAGGGAGTTGAAACCTTAGTTTCTATATAATCTCAAAATTTATAAACGGACGATTTTAGAAAGGTTTGTTATAAATCATGTCAGTACCAAAGTACTGACTACTGAGCTGATGGGGCCCTCGGGAACTGATAGTCCACTAGCAGAGGTATCGAATCAGTGCTTTAAAAAATGAAAACCACACTTTATAAGTTCCATGCGTCCGAAGGGCTTTTCTGGATTTACCTTCATCAGGAACTCTCAAAGCCAAATATTTGAAAGCCAAGGATGTATATAAACCAAAACAGTTGAAGAGCTATATGACCAAAAAGTTGAAAACATTGAGGATCCAAAATTCCGAAAGGTTTTGCCAAATACGCCTGGGATATAAAATTCTTAACCTGGAATATATAAGGGATCAATTCATATTGTACATACGATACTAATTGCCATACTTAGTGTCATTCGTCTGTCACTCATAAACATTTTGTTCTTTAGTAGTATAATCTTTGATGCAAATTTCAGCTGTAACATGTATCTTCACGAAATGGTTGTTTAGAACAATCTATTACGCTCTTCATTTTACTGCAAAGTTCAAGTTTGAAGAGTAGTCGTTTAAAATTAAAAACAAATACTTCAATGAATTTACAAAACTTTCTGATAATCATATATTGCACCGTGCTGTAAATTCTGAATTAAGACTTCAGTTCTCGAAATAAGTTATTTGCTTGTAGAACACTACATCTATTAAACAAAAAAAAAGTGAAGCTGTTGTTGTTTGACGAAAGTAGTTCATTGATATCAAACGTGACCTTATATTGAAAATGTTTTGCTCTACCTGATAATATCTGGGTTGTCTCGTGTTGTATCACTATGTGTTTTTCTTTGTGACATAGTTGCTTTTGCACACAAGTTTATACTCGACAGAAAGACAGGTTGTCTCGTTCTTGCATCTTACTATGGATTTTTTTTTCACTTGTGACAAAGTTGCTATTGCACAAATCTCTTCTCGACATAACGACAGGTTGTCTCGTTCTTGTATCGGACTATGCATTCTTCATTGTGACAAACGGTTGCTATTGCTGAAGTCTATACTCGGCAAAAAGACAGGTTTTCTCGTTCTTATATCGTACTTATGAATTAACAGTACTGTAGTTGAAGAGTTGACGGCCGCAACTCTTCAATTACTGTACTACTGTTATTCCTATTCTAATGCATTAGAAAAGAAATTGTACATTAGAACTTGTAGAAATGAATAAATGTAAGATGAAATACAATTCCGCGAAACCTCATGAATGATTTAGGCGCATAAACATCATGGCAAAACCTGACAAATGAAAACTTTCAAACCGAAGTTTATTTCGTTACTTGTACGATTCAGATTCGGATAAATTTTCATTTAAACGGCGTTTTTGCTTTATTTTCGATTATATTGTATTTATCGAACATTTGTGAATTCCAGCAATTCAAAATGACGACACAAGATATGGCAATAGCGGATTTGACGGTATAAGTTGTTACAAAAAGATTACATTAGAATGTGGATTTTACGACATGACACTGTTGTTATATCACTAGTCTCAACTTGATAAAAGAACACATTGTCTCATTCTCGTATCGAACAATGAATTTTTCATTGTGACACATTTGCTATTGCACAAGTTCCTATAAGATAAGGTTGTCTCGTTCTTGTATCGTGATAACGATTTTTATATTGTGGCACATTTGCTATTGTACTAGTCTTTACTCGACAGAAGGACAAGTTGTCTCTATACTAAGAGCTTCTCTACAGTAGGGACATATAATCTCTATAAGGACTACTAAACCAAAGGACAAGTTTGGCACTACTTATAATCCTATTAAGTATTGGTTTTCAAATATTTGGGAATCGAGTATCAATGAAAGGACATCAATAGTCGAAATGTGCAGTAAAATTCTCACCATTCAATGCGATTGTCTATATAAAGACTCAACTTAAAGCTGCAACTGAACACCTCAATGTGCAAATTTTAAATTGGTTAAACGTCAGTATTAACTTTCGAATAATATATCAGAATTAAGTAAATGATTTATGTCATTTTTTACTGAAACAAGCTTTTACTAAAATTGAGAAACTTACTATAAGTTTTTGTGAGATACTGACATATCTTTATAGAGACATGAATTATTTATGTTCGGAGTATTACAAGTTAATGGACAGTAGACAACCTTATACAAATTACAATACAAATGACAAACCCAGAGATTAATTCCCTTTTAAACATTTCGGAATTTTGGGTCCTCAATACTCTTCAGCTTCATACTTTTTTTGGCCTTTTAACTTTTTGATTTCTAACTTCATTGCCGAGTCTTTGTGGACGAAACGCGCATCTGGCGTAAAAAAAAATAATCCGGATATCTATGATGGGTTTATTTTTTATATATTATTTCTGTTGGTCTTCAGTAGTAAATTATGTACGCAATACTTCTAAAAGTTCAAGACAGGGCTGAAGGTCGATATATACGATACATCTTTCTAATCACGATCACACATAACGGTAAAAATAAGTAATCTAGAAAAAGAACACTAGCGATACTTAAATTAAATACAAATGTTTTTAATGTTCGTTTGAAATTCATTTACTTTAAGTACCATGCCCATATATTATTGTGATATACACTTACTACCATTACTACCACTAGACCTACAATAACGATAACCTCTAACAACCTATCTCTCACTTACCTAAAAACAAACGCTCATTATCGAAACCCGTCCCTTTTCATGACCTGAATAATAGTTTTATCATGCACCCTCTAAATTGCATTATATCTAAAAAAAAAATCTATCCTTTTTTAATCGTTTTATTGTTTGATTAAAACACAATGCATATGCATATATGTTTGTTATGATTCTACAAAAAAAGTTGAAAAGAGGAATAATACTTATGTTATTTATACAGAATAATCTGACTTGCATCAAAAGCAAACGCATTTGAAGAATAATCTAGACGATTGAAGCCATATAAATTTACCAGACTGACTGACTTCGTTTACTTTTTAGCTCTATTATCTCACGTATATATTCTTCCAGTTCCGTGTTACTGAAATGCATATGAGATTTATTATCACAGTTTACGGTGTTGAAATTGTGGTTGCTTGCGTCTGACTCCATGTCAATATTTTGACTGTTTTCTTGGATGCCTGGAAATTGTTGGCTTGTATCTGACTGCACACAATGTTGATATGACTTTCTTTGTCCTTCAGGCGGGGAAATTTCCTCCGGTTTCCAAGGTTTATTATTTTTTTCTGGATTCTGTAAAAATGAGATATAGGATGTACTGTGCGTAATATTGTCACTCAGCTTCAGTTTTATTTGTAAATATTTTTATTATTCAAAAACTCGCTGATTTAATTTTGAGGACAGAAACAGATTGCAAATTCATTTCATAAAATGTCAATTATTTGAAAAGCAATGTTTTGATAGCCTTTCAAATTAGAAAAAAATACCGTCGTACAATGACGTTAATAAAAATAAAAAAGAGATGTTCGAATTCAATTATAGATATTAATAAAAGGAGATAGGGGGTTGCGTCGATGAGACCTAGACCAGATTACCCATACTGTGTCCATCATTTGTGTCAAGCTCTAAATTCTTGCTTTTGGTCTTCAAAAATTGTTAAATTGACATATTTCCCCAGTATCACATCTTCTTTAAATTTTCAGATGTGTGAAAGCTTCTTACCAAACGATAATTTACTACACATATATCAAATTCATCTGTTAAAGTGCGTCAATTATGACATAATTAAGTGTTGTGTTTAAAGAATGAAATAACTGAATCCTAAAAGCTTCGTTATCAAAATTTATGTTTTCTATAGTATTTATAAGTTCAATGTCAAATGCAATGTTTTGTTAAAGAACTTAGATAATATTGAGAAATGGCATGTCATGAAAATCGGCATGAAAAATAAGTGTTAAGAAGAATTGACCCATGTGATTAATAAAAGCATTATACCATGTGACTAATGAACATGTAAAATTGTCAGGATATAATTTTTACGGTTTAACATGGGAAAAACGAAATTTTTACGGTAAACTAAACTTTACTGGTTTCTGCACCATGGTGATTTGAAAGTAAATGCCTTGTGAAAATGTCAAAATTTCGCAAAATAAACGTGATTTGCACCAACTTCAGCTTCACAGTTTGTTATTTCCAAACGGCTAAGCAATTTTTTTTATAAACAATAAGTAAGAAATGAAGCAAATGGTTGGTATTTTACAGAAGAAATAGTATTCGCAACGAAGCAATTCCCATCATACTTGACAGGTACTGAACCTTTATGCAGGTGTTACAGTACACCTCCTGACAAATATGTAAGACAAGATCACAGACAAAATAGTTCTTGCTTGTGGGTCTCTAAAATATGCTGCTTAATAAAGGTATGTTGACAATTCCCTTTGCAAATAACAGTTATATTCTATAAGGATACAGATATACAGAACTTTCGAGTTTCTTTGAAACCTACACAATGGAAACTGTCAATCATATTAGGATTTAAAAAAAATCAAATTTATATTGGAGTATATACCGGCATCAAAGTCCATCTCTATATGCAATGACATTGAAAATAATTTGAATATTTGAGTTCTCAACCCTTTATGTAAGAAAAACCCATTCTTAACTTCAATGCAGTTTAAAACACTTAGTTAAAATTGTTTTTCGTTATAACCAATATCTATCGAAAACACAAATATCTTATCTAAAAAAAAAAAAGATTAAAGCATACTAAGCTTGAAACTAACAAATACATTTTTCAAAGTGACAATATGTTTTTATTCTCTTTTTCTAAATAGATATTAACAGAAGTCCATTACTAATGGACTTCTGATATTAACTATGCTTTCAAAGTAAAAGTCCATAACACCGTTCATAATTCATTAAATTTCACCGAAAAAGACATATCTTTGACTTTTGATATACCATGATAACCACGACGGGAGAATCTAAATCAATTCCCATTTTAATACTGTAAATTCAGAAATTATTGCGAGGTTTTTATTAATACGAATAATGCGATTGGGTGAGTATCGCAATAATAAGAACTAGCATTCTGATATCTGATACATATATCTGTTTGCAGATTTTCCTGAAATCGCAACAATTAAACTCGCATTTTTGTCCATTCTTCAACAATTGCAATAATTAAACTCGCATTTTTGTCCATTCTTCAACAACCGCAATAATAAATGCACGCAATAATTTCTGAATTTACAGTATTCAGTCTTTAGAGGTATTTTTTCTTTGTCGTTGAATATTGTAAACCTATATGACCCAAATGCAAATTTCATAAGTATTCAGTGACAAGACAGCAAGCAACATTATCCGTTTGCAAAACTCTCTCAGAACATTTTCCATAACTTTAGAACAATGCACCAGTATGTGCTGATATCAATGCAAATACCGTTAAAAGATGAAAAAGACATGTCTTCAATTTTACACAAAGTTAAATCAAAATCTTAGCTTTAAACATACTTTTCTATCTTTAGAAGTATGTGTCGTCTTTCTTTTCCTTCTTCTAGAGGTTATTGCGATGCATACACCTATAGTTGTTACTATAAAAACTCCTACTACAACGCCCCAGATAGCTCCAATGCTGAGATCAAATTCATCACTGCCGTCTCCACAGTTATTCATTCCATCATTAGTTAAGTAATCAGATATACATCTTCCATTATCACAGTGGAACTCATTTGCGTTGCATATGCCTGTCACAAACATGATGAACAGTTTTGAATATCATATGTTATACAATTTTTTTTTTAAATGTATCATGAATCCATAACGTATGTTGAATTCTCAATGTAGGCTTTTAAATCGTTTTTACACACAAACTGATTCCAATCGGAGAAACACGATCGGTGTTACCAAATTAGCAAGAACCCTTAACGCTTCCAAATCACCGGAGATCACCTCCTGTTTAAACTTTGGGTCGAGTTGCGCAACTTTATGATCTCTGGGTAGTCATTTGTGGTCTATTGCTTGTATTTTTTTCATGACGTTGGCCGTCTTTGTTCACCATGTGGTGTGTTCGCTTTGAATACTGCCACAATATGTTTATAGTTTTAATTGTAAATTGGAGACTGATTTTAATGTAAATAGCTTTGAGAAGACTAGCTGTGTTGTCCGACACTGCGCAAAGTCTTCGCAGACCATACACATTCACTTACGAATAGGTTTCTTACTTGGAAGAAGAAGAAGAAGAAGAAGAAAAAACACTCAATCATTTGTTCTTATCAAAGAATGTATGTATATATATACTGCTTGTGCATGTTTATGGAAATCTTGAAAAGGATATCACAGATGGCGGCATTAGATTGTCAATCACAAGAACGAGTTTTGATTACACGTTAACATCAACTTATTTTTATTAAGAACACTAACTTAACAAAATCGATATTCAAAGGAGTAGGGGCATTAAGGCCCGGTTTTGGCCCAAGAAAATAAAATGTTTGACAACTATTCCAAATTGGCACATAATGTTTGGAAATGCACAGAGTCAAGAAATGTAAATGAAAAACGTAAGATTTTTTATCCGATGACGTCACAATTACGTCATAATATGTACCGTGTTCATGAAAACAATGAAAAATACAGAATTTATGCAGTTTTCCATCGTTATTTCCATTGTGGAAACACTGTGCGCAGCTAAGAAACAACAGAATAATTTAAGAGACGCTTTATTATAACTATTGACATAATTTCACAAAAAATAAAGTTGTTTCTTGGGTGCGCACATACTTTGCCAATTTAAAATATACTTAAAAATTGAAGTAAAACGAGGAAAATCAAGAAATTCTACAAAATATACACATTTCGTCATGGTTTGTTGACATGGTAACTCGTTAAATGTAAAATTTGTCATTATTTTATGAAAACCTTGTACCTTAGTCTAGTTAGGACAAATTTAAAAATATGTATGATAACTTTTAAATTTGCAGTAATTTTGGGGCCAAATAAGAATAAAGGATAAAGTAGCGAACAGATAGATAAAGATAGATCAGACTAACGTACACCGACCGATGAAGATAGATAAAGATAGATCAGACTAACGTACACCGACCGATGAAGATAGATAAAGATAGATCAGACTAACGTACACCGACCGATGAAGATAGATAAAGATAGATCAGACTAACGTTCACCGACCGATGATATATAGATAAAGATAGATCAGACTAACGTACACCGACCGATGATATATAGATAAAGATAGATCAGACTAACGTACACCGACCGATGATATATAGATAAAGATAGATCAGACTAACGTACACCGACCGATGATATATAGATAAAGATAGATCAGACTAACGTACACCGACCGATGATATATAGATAAAGATAGATCAGACTAACGTTCACCGACCGATGATATATAGATAAAGATAGATCAGACTAACGTACACCGACCGATGATATATAGATAAAGATAGATCAGACTAACGTACACCGACCGATGAAGATAGATAAAGATAGATCAGACTAACGTACACCGACCGATGAAGATAGATAAAGATAGATCAGACTAACGTACACCGACCGATGAAGATAGATAAAGATAGATCAGACTAACGTTCACCGACCGATGATATATAGATAAAGATAGATCAGACTAACGTACACCGACCGATGATATATAGATAAAGATAGATCAGACTAACGTACACCGACCGATGAAGATAGATAAAGATAGATCAGACTAACGTACACCGACCGATGAAGATAGATAAAGATAGATCAGACTAACGTACACCGACCGATGATATATAGATAAAGATAGATCAGACTAACGTACACCGACCGATGAAGATAGATAAAGATAGATCAGACTAACGTACACCGACCGATGAAGATAGATAAAGATAGATCAGACTAACGTACACCGACCGATGATATATAGATAAAGATAGATCAGACTAACGTACACCGACCGATGAAGATAGATAAAGATAGATCAGACTAACGTACACCGACCGATGAAGATAGATAAAGATAGATCAGACTAACGTACACCGACCGATGAAGATAGATAAAGATAGATCAGACTAACGTACACCGACCGATGAAGATAGATAAAGATAGATCAGACTAACGTACACCGACCGATGATATATAGATAAAGATAGATCAGACTAACGTACACCGACCGATGAAGATAGATAAAGATAGATCAGACTAACGTACACCGACCGATGAAGATAGATAAAGATAGATCAGACTAACGTACACCGACCGATCAAGATAGATAAAGATAGATCAGACTAACGTACACCGACCGATCAAGATAGATAAAGATAGATCAGACTAACGTACACCGACCGATGATATATAGATAAAGATAGATCAGACTAACGTACACCGACCGATGAAGATAGATAAAGATAGATCAGACTAACGTACACCGACCGATGAAGATAGATAAAGATAGATCAGACTAACGTACACCGACCGATGATATATAGATAAAGATAGATCAGACTAACGTACACCGACCGATGAAGATAGATAAAGATAGATCAGACTAACGTACACCGACCGATGAAGATAGATAAAGATAGATCAGACTAACGTACATCGACCGATGAAGATAGATAAAGATAGATCAGACTAACGTACACCGACCGATGATATATAGATAAAGATAGATCAGACTAACGTACACCGACCGATGATATATAGATAAAGATAGATCAGACTAACGTACACCGACCGATGATATATAGATAAAGATAGATCAGACTAACGTACACCGACCGATGAAGATAGATAAAGATAGATCAGACTAACGTACATCGACCGATGAAGATAGATAAAGATAGATCAGACTAACGTACACCGACCGATGATATATAGATAAAGATAGATCAGACTAACGTACACCGACCGATGAAGATAGATAAAGATAGATCAGACTAACGTACATCGACCGATGAAGATAGATAAAGATAGATCAGACTAACGTACACCGACCGATGAAGATAGATAAAGATAGATCAGACTAACGTACACCGACCGATGAAGATAGATAAAGATAGATCAGACTAACGTACACCGACCGATGAAGATAGATAAAGATAGATCAGACTAACGTACACCGACCGATGAAGATAGATAAAGATAGATCAGACTAACGTACACCGACCGATGAAGATAGATAAAGATAGATCAGACTAACGTACACCGACCGATGAAGATAGATAAAGATAGATCAGACTAACGTACACCGACCGATGAAGATAGATAAAGATAGATCAGACTAACGTACACCGACCGATGAAGATAGATAAAGATAGATCAGACTAGCGTACACCGACCGATGAAGATAGATAAAGATAGATCAGACTAGCGTACACCGACCGATGAAGATAGATAAAGATAGATCAGACTAACGTACACCGACCGATGAAGATAGATAAAGATAGATCAGACTAACGTACACCGACCGATGAAGATAGATAAAGATAGATCAGACTAACGTACACCGACCGATGAAGATAGATAAAGATAGATCAGACTAACGTACACCGACCGATGAAGATAGATAAAGATAGATCAGACTAACGTACACCGACCGATGATATATAGTAACTGAATGGTAATATAACCCAGGAAACTACTCTAACATGAAAAGAATTGTGAATACACCTTTCTCTAATTCTTCGTCAATTTATCCCTTTCTGCACCCATTTTCGGCGAGCCTCGCGTTTTAAATTTGAAAATTTAACTGTCGAGAGTGGATAAATATCGTATCACACTCGATGCAGTGGTAGAATCTATATTTAAAAGTATTATGATATGAGATTGTAAATTATAGATATATTTTTTGGTGAAACGATCGTTTATCTCCATCTGCCTTCAAATGCTATACGACACATCACATGTAATGTATTTCTCAACTAAACGTACCTTCGTGAAAGCTTGTAATAACAAGGTTGAATCCATTCTCACTGGACCATGAATCTGATTTGAAATAGATTGACAACACGTTCGACGTTGTTATGAAGGACCCTGAAGGCGAAACTGATCCACAAACTTTTCTTCTTAAACCTGTAATTATTGCAAATATCCTAATAAGTCGAAAAAAAGACAATACATGACCAAAAGAAAAACGACGAAAAACACTACTTAAGAGTCCACAACTTACCAAATAGAAAACGGAAGTTTGAGCAACACAAACCCTACCAAAATCAAGGGTAAACTCGTGTATTGCGAAAGGGTAAGCAGTTGGCGGCACCCGTTGTGTTGTACATGGAAATTTAAAATAAAATGGTGATCTGTCGCTTTCGGTTTAATTTAAACATATTTTATTTGCTAAATGTTTCGTTTTCTATTTGTACTTTATGGAGCATAGTTTTTCTATTCGTCGTTTTTCTGTTGGCCTTGGTGTTGTCTACTTTTTCTTCGACTTATGGTTTTTGATTGCTAGAATTTACAAACAAATTGTAACATTTTAATAATACCAAAACCGAAGCACTGATACATGGGGATGATAACCTGGAGAACTGATAGTAAAAACTTTGCATATGATGTCCGGGCGCTAAGGTTTCACAAAAATACTTAGACTAAGATTGATCGTAAGTATACTGAATTATTCATGACTTAAGATCGATCTTAGTCGAAATTTTTTTTTGTGAAACCGACTCCTGGTACTCTCCAACCACAGAATAAAATTACATCGATCAGTTGGGGGCATTCTAAATACGTCTAATGTGAAGGTACCCAAATTGACAGGTTTTTTTTAACCTTTATTCATTTAAGAAACAGACAAAAAGTTTTCATTTAGTATTTATTTTGTAGATGTATCCTTCTTTCCTATATAATTTCACATATTCAATTTTGAATCCATACTAAATTACCAAAACAAATGTACAGAAAAATTGGTTTGAACCGACCTCCAAACGATCCAATATGCTGTATTGAGGGGTTCCTAAATTTTACCCATGCTCAACAATACATCTGTAAAAATCAAATAGCTGATGTTTTATTTCTTCAATTTTTTTTTAACAATTTGACAATAGTTCATGCTTGTTATGCATTTTGAATAAATGCATGTGTGTGACATATTTTAACTTTACGTTTTAAAAAGTCGACTTTTTGTAGACGTCGCATGCCACGTTTCCTAATTCTTTTCTTTTTCTTGACTGGAGACTTCATCTGGTATATTACATGACCGTTAAATGTGTATCTTTAAGAATATTAAGCTATGTTGAAAGATTGGATGCTGATAAATGATAAAAAAATGAATAGTGAAGTTTCTTAGAAAACATACAAGACATCCGTCTTTTTTTAAATGCAAAATGGGTGAAAATTGGGTACTCGGTGCATTTGTGTTCTGTAACGTAATAATTGTACTGGCATCACTAGATATGAAGAATGATCCTAACATTTTTTGCTTTTATTAATATTTTGTGTCAACAGTGACCCATCTGGTCTTTTCTGCATAAGGTTAAAGATGATATCAAGAAACCTGCGATCTGTAGATTTATTGAAATTTGATTATATAGGTTATTTCCATGTTTTCTCTTCCTTCAAAATCTACTTCACATTGGCAGGTTATATACTGGTTTAAAGGTTCTTTTACTGGCAGATACTTTCCGTGGTTCGTTTGTGTGTAAAAATCTAATATATGTATCCGTATTTACCATTAACAAGTTTACTTTTGGTACTGTTTCCGTCATACAGGAGCAGGAAGTCGTCATCGCATTGAGGCTCAAATTCAATGTCAATGGACATAAACACAATTACCATTTGCTTATTCAGTTCGGTCTCAATGTTGACTGTACAATTCATGTTAGGAGAATAATGGACACGTCTTGACGGTTTTAGGCGCATCCAGCTTATACCTATTCCATCCATGCTTACCTTCTTTCCACATCGTTCTTCCATAAACACTAAGCAAATATACATATGCAAAGTCAAGCATTTTGGTTTCTTCATTATAGTATATATAGATGTATAGAAATGAGTTCAAACCTTTTTATCTTTGTTTTCAAAATATGTAGATTGATTTTATTGATTTAGTTAGTTTAATTAAAGTAAAGGGTAACTCGAAATTGCTACGCGTTGAAGGTCACGGTGTGATGAAGAGCAGCAATAAATCCGCTGCTTAAAATGCTTTTAAACTTTCCATCTACAATGGGGAATTTGTTTCAGAAATAAATACATCATATCAACCATTCTTTTTATGTATTGTAATTTCATCAAGTACAGATAATAATCAATATTTTGATTTTTGTGTGTTAGATTTTGTGTTTTTCTTTATCCTTATTATTTATTACCTTTTCTTCGGCTTTCCATATCTTTTCTGTGATTGTTAGCAAAAATAGCTCATTTTGAACTTTATTTTAAGTATATTTTCAGTGGCTTAATTACTTATACTTTCCATAATGTAAATATTTTAGTCTCTTGTATAAGCTTTCAGCTGCATTCAGTTCTTTTATGAGTCAACTTAAAAAACGTTTTTATGTATATTGTTTTCGAATATTTTATAAATGTCGAAGTCTTTACAATCAATAGTTCTACTACAGATGTAAAATCGTTATTATACGGAAGCCGATAAGGGCCATTCAAAAAAAAAAAATTATGTCGTAATTACGACATAGCATGTCGTAATTTCGACATAACATGTCGTTATAACGACATCGCTATATCGTAATTTCGACATAACATGTCGTTATAACGACATCGCTATGTCGTAATTTCGACATACCATGTCGTTATTACGACATCACTATGTCGTAATAACGACATAGCTATGTCGTAATAACGACATCGCTATATATATATATAAAAGAATATGTATTATGATTGCCAAGAGACTTAATGACACAGAAATTAACAACTATATGTCATCATAATGGCCTCAATAATGAGAAAAGCCCCCGCATAGTCAGCTATAAAAGAGGGACGAAAGATACCAGAGGGAGAGTCCCCGATATGACAGCTGTTTAATAATTTAATTCAAACGAATGAAAATAACGGTTTTAATAATGTACAAACAAAGACCGAAAAACGAATATGTAACACAGCAAACAAATGACAACCACTGAATTACAGACTCCTGACCGCTATGTGATAATAACGGCAACCTTATAGTTTAACTTTTCACTTTTTGATGCGATAGGCATTTCAAAATGGTTGTCAGTAAAGGCAAAGTTTGTAGCGGAAACAAATTCATCTTTTTTTTTAGAATAATGAACACTATATGCAATCAAGCTTAATTAAAGTTATTTACTTGCACCTCAGACTTGCACATACTAGAACTTTATTTATAATCAAGTCAAATGAGACCCAGTTGAATAGGGGAGCAATTCAAGCTCCTTGGAGCCTCTAATTATGTTTGGCATGTACAGATTTGTGTAAATTATGAAGTCCTGCATTTCCATTGCAGGTTCTGAATAAGATGAATTTTAAGCTTTTCCCAATAAAGACTATGTTAAACTTTGGACTCATAGTGCTCAGACCAACGGATCTCTGTACCTTCATTTGTACACACTTGAATCTTAATGTACAGTAACTACTGAGGCTTGATGCAAATTATTACTGCATTGCTATTGTTGGTTCTTAATGAGATTCTTCAAGCGTCCTCCCCATTGAAGCCCTATTAAAACTTTGTACCCCAAGTTCTTTTAACCACTGTTCCCCAGGGCAACTATTCCTACAAACTTAAGGGGAGGGTTAGGATTCCGCTAACATGTTTAACCCCGCCACATTCTTTATGTATGTGTATGTCCCAAGTCTTTAATTTACATATTTGTTTTTCGTTTATTTTTGTACATAAAATAGGCCGCTAGTTTTTCTCGTTTGAATTGTATTACATTTGTCATTTCGGGGCCTTTTATGGCTGACTATGCGGTATGGGCTGTGATCATTGTTGAAGGCCGTACGGTGACTTTAATTGTAAATTTCTGTGTCATTTGGTTTCTTGTTGAGAGTTGCGTTTTTGAACAAACCAGCGTATCCCAAGGCCTTGATAACCTCTGTAGGCCCCAAATAAGACGAAAAAAAACATCAAAATTGGAGAGAAAACTGAAAAAAATTGTTTCTAACCTCAGGGATATTAACCCTTGGCTATCTTAGATTTAATGCAATCAGTATGCATCAGCATCAGGGTACAGCTCATTTGCATATCATTTGCATATTTTTACAAATACTCGAAATTTAGACAATTTCTGATAACAATTCAGCATGCCAAGGGTTAATATCCCTGAGGTTAGAAACCATTTATTTTCTGTTTTCTCTCCAATTTTGATGTTTTTTCGTCTTATTTGGGGCCTACAGAGGTTATCAAGGCTTTGGGATACGCTGGTTTGTTCAAAAACGCAACTCTCAACAAGAAACCAAATGACACAGAAATTAACAATTATAGGTCACCGTACGGCCTTCAACAATGATCACAGCCCATACCGCATAGTCAGCTATAAAAGGCCCCGAAATGACAAATGTAATACAATTCAAACGAGAAAAACTAGCGGCCTATTCTATGTACAAAAATAAACGAAAAAACAAATATGTAAATTAAAGACTTGGGACAGACACATACATTAAGAATGTGGCGGGGTTAAACATGTTAGCGGGATCCCAAACCTCCCTCTAAGTTTGTAGGAATAGTTGTCCTGGGGAACAGTGGTTAAAAGAACTTGGGGTACAAAGTTTTAATAGGGCTTCAATGGGGAGGACGCTTGAAGAATCTCATTAAGAACCAACAATAGCAATACAGTTATAATTTGCTTCAAGCCTCAGTAGTTCATTAAGATTCAAGTGTGTACAAATGAAGGTACAGAGATCCGTGGGTCTGAGCACTATGAGTCCAAAGTTTAACATAGTCTTTATTGGGAAAAGCTTAAAATTCATCTTATTCAGAACCTGCAATGCCAAACATAATTAGAGGATCCAGGGAGCTTGAATTGCTCCCCTATTCAACTGGGTCTCATTTGACTTGATTATAAATAAAGTTCTAGTATGTGCAAGTCTGAGGTGCTAGTGAATAACTTTAATTAAGCTTGATTGCATAAAGTGTTCAATATTCTAAAAAAAAAGATGAATTTGTTTACGATACAAACTTTGCCTTTACTGGCGACCATTTTGAAATTCCTATCGCTTCAAAAAGTGAAAAGTTAAACTATAAGGTTGTCGTTATTATCAGATAGCGGTCAGGAGTCTGTAATTCAGTGGTTGTCATTTGTTGCTGTGTTACATATTCGTGTTTCGGTCTTTGTTTGTACATTATTAAAACCGTTATTTTCACTCGTTTGAATTAAATTGTTAAACAGCTGTCATTTCGGGGACTCTCCCTCTGGTATCTTTCGTCCCTCTTTCATAGCTGACTATGCGGGGGCTTTTCTCATTATTGAGGGCATTATGATGACCTATAGTTGCTTATTTCTGTGTCATTTAGTCTCTTGGCAATCATAATACATATTCTTTTATATATATAGCGATGTCGTTTTTACGACAAAGCTATGTCGTAATTACGACATAGCTATAGTGATGTCGTAATTACGACTTGTTATGTCGAAATTACGACATAGCGATGTCGTTATAACGACATGTTATGTCGAAATTACGACATAGCGATGTCGTTATAACGACATGCTATGTCGAAATTACGACATAGCTATAGTGATGTCGTAATTACGACTTGTTATGTCGAAATTACGACATATCGATGTCGTTATAACGACATGTTATGTCGAAATTACGACATAGCGATGTCGTTATAACGACATGTTATGTCGAAATTACGACATAGCGATGTCGTTTAAACGACATGTTATGTCGTTTTAACGACATGTTATGTCGAAATTACGACATAGTGATGTCGTTATTACGACATGTTATGTCGTAATTACGACATAAAATTTTTTTTTTTGAATGGCCCTTATCGGCTTCCGTATTATTATACACAAAGATTAAATTTAAAAAAAAATCTTACTTTTATGACCAGATGAAAGTGATAATGTTGTTAATACAATGGTCAGCTTTTGCAGGAATATCATTTTTGTCTGGAAGGAAAAGGGAAGTGATAAGATCATCTTGTAAGCGTCTGCAATTTATAAAAGATGTATGTCACAAGTGCAGTTACATGTATATACATTGTACGCAATAACGAACAATATATAATATAGAAGCAGTTTTAAATCCGAAACTATTTAAAAGTTAATGTTCTTTCGATAAAATGAAATAAAATGAATATCTTATCAAACAGGTTTAAAGCTATCAACACTTGACTCTTGAAATAATAATTTATTAAAATAGTTTTTATCTTGTCTGTTTTAAACTTTGATTTCGCTCAGAGGCGAATGAAACGCTGCGATGTGTCAATCAAAAAATAAGGAGATGTGTATGATTGCCAATGAGAAAACTAAATATATAATAACTGGAAATACAATGTACCTTTACATTCGTATCGTGATAGCTCATTTTGAAATGCCTTAAGTAGTACTATGTCAGCAATAAAGCATAAATGTCGATAAAAACGACAAATCCACGTCTTATCAAAGAAAGGAGCACATATAAAAAAAGAAACGAACACATATAACAAAGAAAAAGGAACACATGTAACAAAGAAAGTAACACATATAACAAAGAAAGTAACACATTTAACAAAGAAAGGAACACATGTAATAAAGTAAGGAACACATATACTACATACTAGATAATCTCTGAACGATTCTTCGGTTTGACCATAAGGGCTTTGTTGATAAACTTTCAATGTTTTCTGTGTTATCGATACAGAATCTGTGTTTTCTTTTTATATATCTTTGCGATTTGTTCTTCAAAATGCATATTATAAAGTTTATCAAATAATGCACTCACAAACACAACTAATAGTCATGATTGTTATTGCATCACCTTTTTTTATAGAAATTGCTTTTTGTCAATG